AAGATGCGTATATTCATGATCAGTCCTTATAAGAATAGAATTATATTCATCAGGAAATAGGATTATATCTCCAAACCAGAACTTCTATAATATAAGCATTGCAGTGCATGGCTTTCTTATGATCTTCTTTTTATAAATGCCTGGCTTGTTTAGAGGATTTGGAAATTATTTTGTACCTATCTTTCAAGGATTTCCAGAAGTGGTATATCCTAGGGTCCTTTTACTTTCATATCTTTTCCTAATCCTTTCTTTAATCTCAGAATTTGGAGGTGGTACAGGATGGACATTATATCCACCATTATCCACTTCTTTTATGACTTTATCACCTTCAAGTACAGGAAATCTTATATTAGGATTATTAATCTCTGGTATATCTTCATGTCTTACATCTCTTAACTTTTGGACAACAATTCTAAATCTGAGATCTTATTATCTTATATAAAAGACTATCCCATTATTTCCTTTCCTTTCTTGATTACAGCTTTCATGCTTTTATTAACATTACCTATCTTATCTGGTACACTTCTTTTAATGTTGGGTGATCTTCATTCTAATACACTTTTCTTTGATCCAATATTTGGAGGAGATCCTTTCTTCTATCAACATCTATTTTGGTTTTTTGGACATCCAGAAGTTTACATCTTAATAATTCCTGCATTTGGGATCATTTCCATAATAATTTCTGGGATTTTACAGTTAATATAATCTTTGCTAAGCATCACAGACACAGGAATCTCTCATCCCCGCGTCTCCGCATCATCCAAACCGGCGCAAACGCGCAAACCCAAAAACAGAAAACAGCCCGAAGTAAGGCCGGAGCGGTACCTGGGAGCACCTTTCGGGTTGGACAAAAACACAGAAAAACATATCCAGGAGACCCTCAAAACAAAAATGCTCAAAAAAAATGACTGCGGCAATTCCCCCCATCAACCCCCCCCCCTGCCAGAACAGAGGAGAACATAAGAGACGGCTTCAAGGCCTGCACACGCGTACGCGGATCAATCTCCGCGCAACCCCGGCCATGGGGAATCCTCGGGTCAATCCCCTCGGATCGCGTGCTCAGGGCATGAAACTGTTTCTTGTGTTCCCCCCTCTTCTAGCAAATCAAAGTCAACCTCAGAACAACACTCCCTTCGCACGGCGCCTGCAGTACGACGGCGCGCTCTCGATTTCTGCGTCCTCCTCCACCGCGTGCTTTGCCCGGCGGCTGTGCCAGTTTCCGCTTGAAGCAGCTCCAGGGCTCATATCCCAATAGGCCGGCAGGCCGGCAGACAGACGCGCAAGCAAGAGAGCACGCGGACAAGCCATCGCCCGGGCAGGAAGCAAGCGAGCAAACAAGAAAACAGACAGGGCAGGCAGGCAGGACAGCACGCAGGCAACAGGCGAGCAGACGAGCAGAACAAGAAGACCTGCAAACAGACAAGCAAGCAAAAAAGCAGGCGCGCAGACAGGCACCAAGCAGGACCAAAAAAAAAAGCAGACAAGCAGTCACACAGGAAGGCAAGCTAACAGACAGGGTGTCGGGTGGCAAGTTGTGATCTTGACGCGCGGCGGGCGGCGGGTGTCGGCGGCTATGATGTCTGACTCTCCGTGCTGTGATGTCTGACTCTTCGCGCTGTGATGTCTGACTCTTTGCGCGGCGATGTCTGACATTTGGGTGTCTGACTTTGTGGTTGGATGTCTGCATTTCTCTTCGCTGTTTCAACATCACCCCACTCAAAGCAGCACCCTTTAGATAGGATTTTCCAAACAAAGAATTTTCCGACCAGCTTTCCGGGAAACAGAATGAAGCCTCCAAACCGAGCATCCGCAGACCCCGGGGTCTACCTCAGAGACCAGCATACAGGCAAGTCCCCAAACAAAAAAAAGAACCACTGCCAAAAGGCAGCCCGAATATCCGCAGACCCCGCAGTCTGCCTCAGAGGCCGACACAAAAAAATGCAAAGGAACGCTGCCCAAAAAGGAAACAAGAGCCTACCAAAGCCAGCCAAAGCATCCACAGACCCCGGATTCCACCTCAAAGGCCAACATACAGGACAGTGACCCCGCGGCGGCGGGTGCTGGGCGGCCATTAAATTACATGATTTACAGCATTTTCCTCTGTCTACCAAACCCTAGCCTACCAACGACCGGAGAGGATGCTCTTGCCCTCACTTACCTTTTGCTCCAACAGTTTGAAAGTTGGGCAGTGGCTGGATGGGCTGTTGGAGGATCCCTCTGAATAGGGGTCCACGAAGCAGTTGCAGATTGTGTCTGTTGCAAAGGGTTCCGATGGGTTTTCGGCATGGGGCATCTCTTTGCTGCGTTGGGCCCGGGCCCGGGACCGTGCTTCGGATGGCCCCCCAACCGCAGAACCTCCGACCACCCGCTTTCCTCGATGGAGCGGATATCGCGCTGCTGAAAGGCCGGCTGGAACTCCTCCAGGTGGAGCTCCGCCAAAAACTGCACCGCGGCCTACCGAAGAAAAAATAAGCTCAGGCAATCCCACCCCAGACCTCACCGTCGGTGTTGCTGAGGATGCCGCCTTGTAACTTGATAAAGCAAAGCTAGGAGTGACAGCGCAATCGCGCTCGGATCGGGGCCCGACGGCGCAATCGGGGCCTGATCGGGAATCGGGGCCCGCGGGGCCCGACGGTGCAATCAGGGCCCGATCCCTGATCAGAGCCCGATGCTCCCGTGGTGCAACCCCAGCCACCCATATTGTAGCTCAACGCAAGTTTTCCCTAGGATGCGGCCTTACAACTGTATCAAGGAAAACTAGGCGATGCCAGCTTGGTACAGTTGACGGGGCCCGACTCAGTCGGGCCCCGATCAGGGCGCGATGGCCCAATCGGGGCCGATCCGACGCTGCAATCGGGCCGGGAACCTCAGGGCTGCCGGGCTGCCCCATAGCTGTTGCAGAACGAAACTTACCCCGTAGCCCTTGCAGCCTGGTGGAATTCTTGGCACAAAGCCAACATTTCGGGCCGCATCGCCTGAGCAAATGAGCAGCAAGTGACAAAACGGTGAAAGTGTGCTGAAATCCTCAGATTTCAGTTTTGCTTAGTGTTCCGCCCATGAGCAAAGCGATCTTTTGAGCCCTGTACTGCTCCGATGGCTTTCAGGGCAAACCACGGAACCTTCCCATTTCTGGAACCCTTCTGAAACCTTGTGGAGTTTTGTAGAACTTTTCTGGAATTTTTGCAGAACTCTGAATAACGCTGTGAACCCTCAAGCCCCACAGCCACTCCGGACCCTTGCAGAACCTCGTGGAACCCTGTAGAACCCTGATGCAACCTTCATGGAACCTGACCTTGCAGAACCTTGCAGAACCTGGTGGAAAAGCACCAAAATTCCAGCAGATTTTTGGTGCTCATGCAACCTTACCTCAAACCACCCCGGACCACCTTAAAACCCTGGTGGAACCCTGGTGGGAGCCTTGTGGAACCTTCCCTGAAACCCCCGCCCCGCAGCCCTGGCAGGTTGCTGGAAATTGGTGGAACTTTGGTGGAACCCTGCTGGAAGCCTTGTCAAACCTTCCTCAAACCACCCTAGAAGCCCTCGCAGAACCTTGTTGAACCTGGTACACCCTGGTGGAACGCTGGTGGAACCCTGGTGGAACCCTGTGGAACCCTGGTGGAACTTTGGTGGAACCCTGGTGGAACTTTGGTGGAACCCTGGTGGAACCCCCGTAAAATGGTGGAACCCCTGGTGAAACCCTGGCAAAACCCTCGTGGAACCTTTCCTCAAACCACCCCGGACCACCCCGCAGCCCTCGCAGAACCGGGTGGAACGCGTGGTGGAACCCTTGGTGGAACCCTCGTGGAACCTTACCTCAGGGCCGCCCCGCCTATCTGGGCTGAGACCCCAAAGCTTCAGCTGTTGGGGAAAAAAGAAAAACTCGGGAACTCGGGCTGGCGGAGGTTGGCGGCTTGCATCTGGTTCTTCATGTCTTGGTTTTGCCCAGTCGCTTGTATCGTTGTATTGGCGTTATTGCCATTAGCAACTGTTGGTATTATTGCGGCTATTGCCACCATTATCAAACTATTTATCCAATAGTTACTACGATTGTGATTTGTGTTTCTTTGTGCACCGTCATGCGAGTATGTGTGAAGTCCCTTCGCATGCTTGTTCATGTGTCTTGTCATTCTGGTTCGTGTCTTCATGTCTTCATTGTCTCTTCCTGTACCTGCCTGTCAATGTGTACTCATGTTTCCGCATGTTCCGGTACTGTTTCTTATGCGCGTTCATGCATCTTATATTCTCGGTGCTTGTGACTGTTTCTTCATGTTTCTTTTGCACCCCAGCAAGGAAAGCGAGACAACGGCTAAAACCGCTTCTGCTTCGGGCATTATGTTCCACTTTGATGAGGTCCCTGCCAAACCAGGAGCATTTACTCAAGATTCATGCCCAGTATTTGGCTGACATTGGCACTTGTCAGAGCACATCTTTGCTCTCTGAAATCCTGGCCCAACCCCAAGTGCAGGGAGCTTGTGGCAATGAGGGACCATCACATCTGCGCCTTGCACAGCATGGCACCCGGCTGACCCGGGCTTGCGGACACTGACTGGGCCGCAGCAGCCATCCGAGCGATGGCTCGAGGCCCGAACATCGATCGGTTTGTGTTCGCACCGAATACCTTTGACAGGGAACTGGCAGAATGCCAATGTGGAAGGGGCCCCAGATTTGGCGCACACGCTCTCTCCCGCTTTCTCTCTCTCTCGCTCTCTGTCTGCTATCTGTCTCTATCTGTTGCCTGTCAATGTCTAGGACTACTCCAGAAATTCAGGGCACAGGCTTGCGCCCTAGCATTTGGCCACACCGGCTCAAGCGCCCTTCCATGGGTGAAGTCTGCTTGAAACCCCCCAATCCAAGCCGCTAGATTGCTTGGGCTGAATCTGGGAATGAGCCCATGGGCGGCGCCGGACGCATTGCAGGAGCCCATGAGCTGCTTTAAGAAAAAAAAACGAGCCGAAAGCGCATGGAAGCAGAGCTCGATGCCTTGGAGCTGGGGCTCGTGCCCTCCAAACCCCTGCCAATCTGGAGAAGCTTGGATGTGACACCCACCTCGGCATGGCTCAAGCCCCACTTGGGCCTGCCCCTGGCCTCAACATGAAACCCAAAATGCGTTTGCACGTTTGCCCGCACAGATAGAAGTTCGGCCATCTGAAACTTGCCCCTGGCCACCGATAGGCAGCAGCCTGCACTTCCTTCAGAGGACCAGGCTCAATGGAGTAGGTCCTTAAGCAGTGCGACGGTGCAAGGCGGCAACGCCAGCTGAAATCGGAACTTCTGTGAAGTTCATGTTGGGCAGCTAGGCTGCCGACAGCTTTGCTTTCTTCTTCCAGCAGCACCGCTGAAAGGATGCCACGCCGCTGGCAAGTCGGTTCATCCTTCGCCCATACCACTGGACCACGCGAGCTCTGAAAATGATCAAAACGCCCCTTTTGGATGTCAACCGCTACTTAGCTGCTGCTTCCCCTGTGCACCTCTGCCTTTTCGAGAATCCGAGCGCCTCGGATTGAAGGTGACGTGTTCAGTCATCTCCTTGGTTTCCTCAAGAGGCACTTCCTCAGCGATCCAATGGGGAAGGCTAGCGAATGACTCCTCGCAGAGGGTGGATGTCCCGCATACTGCAAGTACAATCACAAGCCATGGGAGTTTGACATTTCCCCTTGGTCCCCACTTGCAAATTTGTAGAGCATCCACCGTTCCTGGGGCAGTTGCGACCTTGCCCATGAAGTCATTTTCCGACCTCTGCCCAACGAGGCAGCAGCAAGGCACAAGACATCATGACATCGTCACACGACCCGGCCCCCCCCCCCCCCCCGCTGAAGGACATGCAATGCAAAAACCCAGTCGCTGGGACTCTGGGAGCCAGCGCATGGAATCAAAGTCGTAGATCATGAAGGCCACGCTGTCCCAAGTTCCGGCCTCAGCATACTCGCAGCAGCTGCAAGCTGTACCCGCGAGCGCGGCGAGCGCGGCGAGAGCTGGGGCGCCCACGTTGCCAAATCGCTGAAAGTAGGCCCGAGTGACCTGCTCGTTTGCCACTCACAGTGCGTTGGGCCGTGTGTTTGGTCCCATTGAAGTTGCAGATTGCGGCAGGTCAAACTTATTGCCAGGGAAGTCTTGGAAAAGACTCGCAGCATGCAAACCTGCTCACGAAATGGCTTCGGCCCAAACGGGGTCAATTGCGCCGCTGCAAGGCCCAAAGAGCTGCTTGCGCCCTTTTTGAATGCGGTGCCCAATGGCCAAAGTGCTCACCGCAGTTAGCAAGACTTTCGCCCCTCAAGCCTGGCAAGTACGTCCATTGGAAAGCTGTGAACAAGCATCGCTAAGAATCACGGCATCGCGAAATGCAAATCTAGGTGCACCCAACGGGTGGACTAGTTCCGCAGGATATGGTTTGCATATTGCCCATTTCATGAATTACTATACTGACTTCTGCCCATGCCCTGTCTCTTTTCTCCGAGTATGTCGTTTTGTTCATAGTACCCTTCTTGGGGGTAGTGGTCGAAGGAGACCAAAAGGGTCTCTGTCCCTCCCTCCCTTCCTCTCGCTCCCTGCCCTGATCCCTCTCTCCCTCGCCATCTCCCTCAGTCTCCCTCCCTCCATTCCTGCCTGGTTTCTTGTTTTATTCAAGCACGTTAGACGATATTAGCTATCCAATTCATTCAGTTGCCGCAACGCAAGTCCAGCCTCCAAGGACAAACGCATGATGCCGCCGACATAGTATTGCCAGTACCTCTCCCCATCACGGTCAAAAGGCTGCGACCAAAAGTGGGGCAAGGGAGGGGGTAAATGATCTCCTTTGTCATCATTCCAAAAGTAAATTGGGAGAGTTTTGTCCGCCAACATATTTGATATTGAATTGAAGGTGTGTTCCCTAAAGCTCATCTTGCTGAGGGTCGCAGGTCCGCACCTTCAAATCCAACCAGTCATGGAAGCTGTACGAAGGGTCAGTGGTTGATGGGAAAGAAAGAGCTGATTGCACCCCAATGGGCATGTGGTTCGATCTTGGCGCCGCTCTCCCACACTTGGGCTGGGGTGTTTCTGTGGGCTCTCCCCCTCGCCCTTCCCCCCGCATCAGCTTTCAGCTCCGATTCGCATCTGGCAGCATAGATAGCCGCATCCTGCCCTTTTGGAGGTCCACGTCCAGAATGCGTAGTCGCACTCGCTGTCCCACTTTCAGGTCCCCGACCTCATGCAGCTCAGGGGTCACCCCAAAAGAGTGCGCCGATCCAGGGGCCAACAAGAGGTGACGTGTCCTATGGCAGTATCGAGGATTTTTTGTAAGTGCTGTGTAGCCTACATACCTCCACATACTTGGACATGCTCCTGAAGATTTAAATCACGCAAGGGTCTTTTTCCAGTGACCATCTCAGAGCCTGGCGATGTCTTGGTGCTTCAGGAAGCCATCCGCTCGGCTTCCAGCTTCTGACTCCAGGGTGACGAAGAATCCGGCATCCGTCTGAAATGCCACCTGCCCAATCATCCACCTATTTGCAGGAACCCACCGAAAGTCAGACAAATCTGCTTGGCCGACCTCCTCTTGCTGTACCCCTTCACTGGACCCGATCATTGACAAGGTCATCTTGTCAGTCACAGGATTGAAGGACACCACCCGCACCCTAACCTCCTGGCCAACTGCAAGGACATCCGTCAGCTGGTTCACAAAGTGATCAGCTACCTGAGACCTTGGGACGAAGCCGAGTTGGTACCGCCCATCTTCTAGGGTCACCCCCACCACGGCGCCGCCCCGGTTGAGTGAGGTCACAACACCGGTGCTCCAGTGCTCGGCCACCACGGGCTGCGCAGAGAGCCGCATCCTCCCTTTCTGCGGGTCGACTTCCGTGATGCGCACATTGATCGAGTCTCCCACCCGGAGCGTGGCCTGAGCTTGGAACGTCAAAGCCAAAGTCATTCACAACACTCTTCTGCAAATGCTTCAAAAAGGATGCAGAGGAACACCCACCCACCAGCTGTGATCCAGCTAACGGGCTCCGAAATTGCTCTTGGGGCTTTGGAATGAAGACTGCCCCACTCGTCACAAGAGGGAACCAGGAATTTCCAAAATTTAAGCGGCTTCCAACTGAGCTCTGTGCAGCCCCGGACTCAGAGTTGTGCAACAAGCCCTCGGCGGTGGCGCCCTCCGCCGTCACTTCCACGAAGGCGCCGAACTTCGCGGTGTGCACAACCCTTCCCGTGAGCCACCGATCGGACTTCACCTGGGCGAAGGCGGTGAGGCCCCGGTTTTTCCGGGCCTTCTTTGCGCCCTTCATGGATAGGATCATCTTCCCGGACCCCACGTCCACCGACAGCACGCGCACCGAAACGCTCTCACCTTCGCTGACGACATCCTGTACGGCGCGCACGTGGCGGTGGCTGAGCTCGGACAGGTACACGAGGCCATCGGCGGAAGCTCCGTCCAGGGACACCGTCACAAAGGCTCCGAATGGGGCAATGCGTTTCACCACTCCCGTGAGCCACTGCTCTGCAGGCACTGATTGGAATGGCCTGAGATCGCGCTCGACCAAACCCTGGAACATGGATAAGCTGAAATGCCCATCCTTCTTTCCAGCCACCCAGACGTCAACAGACTGATCCAAAAACAAGAGCTCCGCCGCGCTTTTGATCCTGTCTCGTGCCATTCTCGATACATGCAAGAGCCCATGCTCTTCAGCTCCAATATCCACAAAGGCATAGGTCTCTTGAACATCGAAGACCACACCCGTAAACTTCTGCCCCACTTGCAGCTCACTTATGGGGATCAACGCGCGCCTCATCTGCTGAGGGGCCACCACTACCTGGTCGATGCCATCTTCGGGCTCATGCCACTTCACAGTGTACCTGCCATCCTTCTCCGAGATAACCCGTCCAGGATACCACATGCAGTCCTCCTCATAGTAGGTCAGAACCTCATCCCCCACCATGTATTGGGCAATGGGTGCACTGGGCTTCTCACCTCCTGCATTTTCAGGCCCAAGATCTATGCGGCTTCCGACGTCAAATGCATCAGCTCTGACCGACCTCTCCGCACGCGGAGGCACCTCCGGTGCGCACCATGACCTCACAGTCAGGCCCAGCAGGCCACAGGCGAAGCAGCGCTTTATCAGGCGCTTCATGGACCGAAAGGCTGCCTTGCCAGAAGGGTCAGGTGGCTGGGTCTAAGATTCGAGTGAAGAGTTTCTTGTTCTTATCTAAAGTCGAGTCTGCACTGCAGCTGGGCAACGGTCGGCTCGTTTTGATGATTGGATGGTTTGGAAGCCACGTAAGGCCGTGCACCAGCATCATTAGCCACTCAAGCCCAAAAAGCGGTACGAGCTAGCGGTACGAGCGCGTGCGGAAAACGAAATGGCTTACACTTTCCCAACACTATCAGAAAACCCGTAGTTGGTTCTTTGTAGAGAGGTGGGTGTGGCTCAAAATTAAGCAGGAGGGGGTCATGCCGGTTTTGGTCCATGTTTCCACTTACCAGGGCAAGCCATTTTGGGTACCGTTTTTTTGAGCAACAAGGCCAGGTGGTTCCCACTAGATCTGCCCAAAATGAATACCCCGCCCTCGGGCACTCGTGCCGATCCGCCTGGTCTGCTGCTGACAAGTCAGCATGCCTCGGCTGGAGAGCTGGGCAAATCAGCCGGAAGCGGGCGCCTGATCTCAAAGATAGGACCCCAGAACACGGTTGACGCCCGCTTCGCCCCCGTCAAATCAAAAAATAATGGTACCCTCCAGTCCACTAACGGGGAATCTGACTGAGGGGTCTGAGAAGACCATTTTCCTTGAAAAGGGACCCCTGGTGGGGTCCATGGTAGTGAACCAGACGGTACCCCAAGAAGAATGGCCGCGCCCAAATGTCACATCTCTGGGAGAAAAAAGCTTCGGGCTTGCCCGAAACCTTCCCAGCCACGCAGCTTCTCGAGCGTGTTGAGCTCCGACCGGCCCCAGTCGAAAATGGACACGATGACCTTCTCACCTTCGCCGGGACAGTCGCCCTGCTCAAAACGGGCTTAACATAGATCACGTTTTTCCATTGTCTGAAGAGCGTGTCCCATCAGGGTAAGAAACATGAGCCAACTCTTCCCTCGACCATCCAGACAATGCCTGCTGCCTTCTCCCCATTGCTGCAAACCAAATGGAACAGGTGTGGTGTCCAATTTGCTCTGAGAGTCGTGGGGCCGGTCTGTATTTTGCACAGCCCCATCCAAATGCAATAGGGACTGGGCGCAGCTGCTCTTCTTCCCCGCGCTTTGTCAGCCTCAGGTCTTGCAGCGCCGCTTGTGAGGACGTCCCTGTGGACTTTCGTTGGAGATGCTTGGGCTCTGGCTCGCCAACATCAAAGCCCAGGGCAACGGAGCCTAACGCGCACGAGCTGCGGGCACGCGGCGAAAGCCACATCCCCCACTCCAAACCAAAGGTTCCCCAAGGCTCAAAGGCTTCTGCGAATCCTTCAAGGAGGGAACCGGCCGTCTCTCTCTCGGGGGGGGGGGGGGGAGAAACGGGTCACCTTGAAGAAAAGCTCAGCGCGGGGCTGCCGATCCACTTCTGCGGCACTGAGCACCTTGTTGGAAAGGATCGATCCAGCGCCACTCCAAAGCATCGGAAGCCTTCGAGCCCCAAGGCCCAGACTTCACGCAAGCGATGCTGAGACCTGACAACTCAGAAGCCTCTGCGTTGATGGAAACCAAGAGAGAGCCAGAGAAACATCAAAGCTCACCAAAGAACCTTCCTTGGGGTTCTTCGAAGGGGTCTCACAGAACCTTTGCGAGGGGGCTGGGCACCCTACCCTGTGAAGCACATCTTGGCCTGTCTGGCCACAAGTCTCAGAGCCAGGCGCGTCAGGCGCCTCACCATCTCATGTAGCACGATCTCAGCCTTACGCAGCTCGCCAATCCTCTTGTCGGTGTCTGGGAGTAAAATCTGGGCGCTGCACCATCTCTGACTGACTCAGTGTGTTTGTCAATTGCACCTAGGCTGGGGCCCTTTGCTCGATCACGACCGGAAATGCGCAGGTATGGTGTTTGATTGATTGACCCTTTGGTGGACATCAGTTGCACGGGGATTCATTTGCTCCACGCCTGGCTTGGCGGCGGAAGGTCCTGCAAGTCAACCAGGTACCTCAGGTGGCTTGCTTCATTTCCATTGCTCAGACGATTTGAGAATCGTTGATCCATTGCCGCCAGGGCGCAGAAGCATAGTGGCTGCATGCATTCGCTGCAGCATGATGCGCATGGCCTTGAAAGCTGTTGCATGGGTTGCTGGCTAGTTGTTGGCTCTCTCTCTATCTCTCTCTCTCTCTCTCTCTCTCTCCAGGCGCTTTAGCTACATGTTTTCTTGATTCGTGATCTGTGTTCCTTCCCGTGGACAGCTGGCGGCCTCGCCTTCTTTGCCATCTTCTCCTTGGTCAACAGGGGCTTTGGATGAGATGTGTAAGTGATCCTGTTGGTCGGCCAGCCAACTGAACGCGCCTTTGTTCTCGCTACGCTTGGTTGGTTGGTTTGAAAGAGACGCTGCCTTTTGGGGATTAATTTCCAGACCCCAAATAGTTTCTCCCCGCGCAGCACATGCTTGGCGCAGCGCGCTTCCATGCCCCAAATCCAGCAGCGGGTCCTGCACTGGCACTCATTCACCCAGTCACTCAAACAAACAAGCACGCAAAAGCACACCCACACACCTGCACACACACACACACACGCACACCTGCAAACACACACACACACACACACACACACACAGACACACACACGCACGCACGCCCGCCCGCCCGCCCGCCCGCCCGCCCGCCCGCCCGCCCGCACGCCCGCACGCACGCACGCACGCACGCACGCACGCACGCACGCACGCACGCACGCACGCACGCACGCACGCACGCACGCACGCACGCACTCGAACACGCACAAAGCACGTGACGGGGAGGCGCAAACAAAGGCAGGGATAGATCAAAGCAAGCAAGCAAAGCAAAGCAAAGCTAAGCAAAGCAAGGCAAAGCAACGCAAAGCAGGCAAAGCAAGCAAGGCAATGAAAGCAAGCAAGCAAGCAAGCAAGCAAGCAAGCAAGCAAGCAAGCAAGCAAGCAAGCAAGCAGTTGAAGAAACAGAACACAACATGACATGGCCGACACGACATGCTTGGGTCACATCGCAAGACATTTCACACAGCATAGTGCATTACAGTACATTACCGTTTAGGGTTGGGCTGCAGGTGTCTTTGGGTTGGTGCAAGACAGGTTTAGGGTTAGGCTGGGTTGAGGGTTGGTTTTTCGGTGCTTTACGACGTTACGTTAAGCTCCTGTAAGGTGCGCATATGCCTTTTTTGCCGCTGCAGAGCCCTTACATTACAAGATTCATTCAGGTTGTTTCTTTGTGCTCAGTATTTTTTGTTTGTTTGTGCTGCAGGCGTTAAAATGCTGCTTTGCAGCATTGTCTCACCAGCAGCACTCATTACCTGTATCGCCTTTACATCCCCAGCATCACCAGCAGGCTCTTGTGGGGAAGTAAGGTTGGATTAGGGCGGGCTTTGGCTCAGGCTCTCAGGATTGGATTTAGCCAACGTAGAGCACCGTGAGGCTGCAACAACCACAAACCTCATAAATGCGTCTGCAGCATCTATAGCGGCATTACCAGGAACCGGGTTTAGGGTTGGTTTGGGGTGGATGTGGTGTTTGTTTGAGGTTGGGCTGCAGGTGTCTTTAGGTTGGTGTAAGACAGTTTTAGGGTTGGTCTGGGCGATATCTAGGCTGGGTTGAGGGTTGGGCTCACGGAAAACATGGTTGGTTTGTTGGGTTCAGGGTTGGTTAGGGTGGGGCTAGGGTTGTTTAAAGTTGGTTTAGGGATGTTTAGGGTGTGTGTTTATGTGTTAAGATTGTATGTTTGTTTTTGGGGTGGGTGTCGGGTTAGGGTTGTTTAAGGTTCGTTTTGAGTAGGTTTAGGGTTAACAGGCTGTTTGCTGTGTCTCTAGGGTTGGTTTATTTGGTTCCCATGAAGCCTCTAAAGGTGGAGCACAAACCGTGTTGGAACACACACACACACACACGTGGGCATGTGGTTCTTTAAAGGTACCCCTTTTTTTTGTGTTTTTTTTTTTTTTTGGGGGGGGGGGGGGGGACACACACACTCACACGCAGGGCAAAATCCGTAAAAAAGACACACACCTTGCCCAATTTCTCACCCCCCGGTCCAGAGATTTCAGCGTCTCCGGCTGGCCGTCGAAGCCCTCGAGGCGGAAACCCTCGCCGGCGGAGTTGGTGTGCCCGTCCTCGAGTCGGCCGTCGGCCGTCCGGCCGTCGGCCGTCGGCCGTCGGCCGTCGGGTTGCGTCGCTTCGATCCATTTGGGCCGTGGTCGAAACTCCTATGGCCTATGATCATGGCTCCCTCAACAAATCGTTGTACTGGCTGGCTAGGATCCTTGCTACCAGTGGACGAATATTTGGGAGTTTGTCGAAAAGGAATCGGCTCCGTTTTTGGATGGTAAGGGTAAACCCAAAGTATACATAAACACCTTGAAGGGCCTAATTTTGAGAAAATCCCATGTGGTTGTGTGTCCTTTCTTGGGGGACCGTTAAAAAAAACAGTGAGAAGGGGAGCCTGAAAAAGGGGAACCCATCAGGGTGTGTATTTCTTTGGGCGGGCCTCCAAAATAGCTTCGATGCTCCTTTTGGGGTCCCTTTAACCCAAGCAAATGAGGGGTGCCCTCGAAAAAAGACACACCCACTTTTTGGGGGGTCACACCTCCAAGAGTCCCAGAGGGGACCACTCTGATGTGGGAAGCACGTGTTCGATAAGGGACCCTCCAACAAGCTTGGAAGTGCAGGCCGCTTTTTGAAGCCGGCTATCCTCTTGGAAAGGGGGTCCGGGCACTTCCATGTTTGCGTTTGCTGTGGGTGGGGGGTGGCCGGGTCGCCGGGGTAGCCCTGCTGGCAAGACGGATTGCCCATCTATGCGAACAAACTTGGGTCCCCAGCAATGATCGCTTGTCTCAGCGCTGCCGCTCGAGACCTCGGCGTGCATGGCTGCCGAAACTGCCCACGCGATTCTACAATTCTCAATGTCGTCCCCCAAGTGGTAGGTATCCCAAGGATTGTCCACTGTGGTGTCCAAGATTTGGCGGAGAACTCTTTCCTCGACTATCCCCTGGTGGCCTCCATCAAAGTCCCCAAGTGGTAGGCTTGAGAGAGAGATGACCACAGCCATCTCACTTTGATACCCCACACCTAGTCAAATACACAGTGGGTCCAGCAAAGGCCGGAACATGCTGAGCCAACTTTACAATGACTGACACTGTTGCCCGCCGGCCATACTCCAAGGGCACCACTTGCCCTGCCATCCTGCCTGAGCTGTCCTTAGTCACCACAAAGGGGGCACCATGCTGACAATCCGTCGAAAGCTGCGAAGGTGTGTTTGTTTGTGGGCTTGCGGGTTCATTTGTGAGTGCTGCCTGTGCAGGGCTGTGCGGCGGTGTGTTGCCTTGCGGATCGTGGGGAGCTGTAGTGTGTGTGTGTGTGGATGTGTTGTATCATGTAATGTTACGTTGAATTATGTCATGGGGTGGCAAGCTACACTGCATTGTACGTTATAGTGTTGCATGTTATTGAAACCCATGGTGCAGCATGTTATATGTTGTTGTGGTCTGTTATACTGTAGTACTGCACTATGGTAAACTCGGTTATGCTTTAAAATATTGTGTTGTATTACGTGTTACGTTGCAGTACAATATGTTATGGGAGTTGATTCTATATATGATGTTGATGTGTATTGTACTGTGTCGTGTTGCGTTGTTGTGTCCTGTTACTTTGTTGTATCCTGGTTTGCTAGGCGTTGCGTTGTGGGGTTGGGCTGATTGTTTTGTCGTGACGTGTTGTGCTGGCGCCTTGCTTTGCTTCTGTTGTTCTGTGCTGTGATGTGCTGTCGTATTGCGGTGTTTGTATTGTCATGTCATGCCTCTCTCTCTCTCTCTCTCTCTCTCTCTCTCTCCGTCGTTTTGTGCTTGTGTCACGTCGTGTTTTGTGTGTTGTGATGTGTTGTGCTTTGCAGTGCGATCATTGTGTTGCCTATTGGTGTTGCTTTGCGTGGCGTTGTGTGTGTGTGTGTGTGTTGCCGTCATGCGTTGTGTTGTGTCTCTGTGCGGGTGGGCGGGTGGGTGCGTGCATGCAGTTGGTGGGTGGGTGGGTGTGTCGAAGCCCTGAACGCGTGATGTTCGAATGCCACGGCTTCAGCGAGCACCAAGCAGGAAGTCGCTGCCGACCCCACACGCTGGGTGCTCTGGCTTCTGCCCGATCTTGATATCCAGCAACCGGAGTTTGGTCATGCCGTCGTGCAGATTTCGGAGCACCTGAGGTCTCGCAGCCCCCACCCAACATTCATTCAAAACGGGAGCCCCCTGCTCAAATCAACCTTTTTGGAACACAAGCAGAGCCACAGTTTGCACTCTCACCTTCTTGCCCCAGTGTCGGGAGATCAGACCTGAACTTGGGCAGGGGCAAGAAGGTCCAGTGGCTTCTTGTTCTCCTTCCCTTCCTGCAAAGGGGCGAACGCTTACTCTCCAAGCTCAGCGGAAGCCTCAAATCAAGACCCGCCACAGGTGGTAATCATCCAACACAAACTGTGCCGTCCTCGTGGACTTTGAGGATTCCCGCATAATCAAAGGTGAACTCAAAGAGTGGCCTGCAGCATCCGCATCGCTCTGGTTCTCTTCGCATGGCTTGCGTGCTCGCACCCGCGCGTGTCGCTGGGTGCTCGGCAGAAGGCTCGCAGCGCTGGGCCTGAGTCGCCCAGAAGGCCACGTGCAAATCTGTGAGGCCACTGAGTTCCTTCCGAGTGCCAGCACGGCCAGTTGCTTTTGAGGAAAGTGAGGCCAAGTGGGATAAACTGCAACTAGGTCCTCCAGCAGAGAGGTTAGAATACGGGTACCCTTTTTTTTCCTGTAGACTATTTTAGTATAGGGGAACCCTCCCCCAAAAAAAGGGGTAAAAGGGCACTATTGGGGGACCTAGGCAATGTGCCTGCCTTCCGGCAACATGGTGCTGCTCCTTGAAAGTTTCACACGGCGCCGCTGAGCTTGCCGCGTCTGCCTGCATTCCTGAACCTGGTGCCAAAAGCACAGCACTGCAGGTCTCAGCTGCGTCTATGGAGCCAACTCGCAATCGCGCGCAGCAAAAACACAAAAAAAAAGCATGCTCAACGTGCAATGAAAACCGCAGGTTTGCAAACCACGCCTCCTCATAGAAGTCGACTTCGTCGGACGCTCTGCTCAGGTCTTTGCCTGCACACGGCTAAATCTAAAGAACCAAACAACACTTCCCCGCGAACACAAACTGTCAAAGAAACAAACACAAGCGAAAAGCAAACAACAAAGAAACAAAAGACAGACAAAGCAACAACTAACAACACAAAGCGCCGATATGCTCTTGGGCTACCGCACAGCCAATCACCAAGTATTCAGCAGTCAAACAACGCAGTCAATGGTGCTGGCTGCAGTATCCAAGTGCATGGCCAATGTAAAAAGAAGGCGACCTCCCATCCTTCCTGAGCAAAACGCCGAGTCTCAATCGCCCGGCCGAATCTTGCACGAGGCCCAAGCAGATGTAGTTTGAAAAAAGGCGCCGTGCCCCCAGACACGCCCAAGCGCTTCACCGGAGTCTGAAAGGCAGGAGACATGTGTGCCCCGAAAACTAACCGCTGCCCAGCTCAAGCAGAAGCTGCAGAACGAAGCTCCTCAAAAAGGCTGCTGTCAACCTTCGTCAGCTCCGCCTTCTTGCCTTGGCATGCGCATGCTGCCCGGCACCCGGCACCCGCCACCCGGGAGCCAAATGCCATCCACTTTGGGCCGCTGCACTTGTGGATGGGGACCTTATGACATGCCATTCAAAACTGACAAGACTGAGACCGATAGGGCACGTGCCACCATCGCCTGCACAACCACGGTGCCCGTGTCCTTGCAAGTACCGGGGAATGCATCAAGGCGCTTTGTACTTCGAACCAGCGGGCCATCCGGTACTTTGGTCTGCGCTCAATCGCCTTTGCGATTTCCATGGGCTCAGTCTTGACTCACCAACTGCCAACGACTGCGCTCTCTCTCTCTCTCTGCCCAATCCTCCTTATTCAGCTTCAAGGGAAGCTTCAACTCGTTATGCCTCTCGGCCTGCGGCTCGAAGAGGTAACAGGAAGAGGTAACAGGAAGAGGTAACAGGTACTGCTTGCAATGGCCAACTTGTATCTTGGAGCCCTTCCCAGCCTGAGTGGGACTCGGCACTCCTCCCGTGAGCCCAGAAATGAGCTCTGCCACTTGGACTTCTGCATGACCTGAGCTGTTTAAAGGGCATTGGTGTCACAGAAAGCGGCAACCTGGAAGTTAGCCGTCTTCTCTCAAGACCGTCGCCTTGAATATCTTTCGCTGGCTCAGGCCTCTTTCGGTCTGTTGCAATGCTTTTCGGCTTGCGAAGTGCAAACGAGGCTGTCAGAGCCAGGTGTCAAATCGAATGCGCGCTGCCCCCTTCACCCGCCCTCACTGGCGGGTGAGCGTTTGGAAAAACGCCAGCGCTGGGTCCCGAGTCCCGCTCCGCAGGGCGTATTCTGCGACACCATGTTGGCATCAAAGACCTGGTGGCAACACTCCGCCTTGGACACACTTGTTCTGCAAGCGCGTCTGGCGACAGCCGGTATGCACCGGGCCATGGCGCAGGCTGTGAACGAACTGGCTGTGGCTCAAAATTTAAACAACAGGGGTTACGCAGGTTTTGGCCCATGTTTCCACTTACCAGGGTTCCGTCTTGGAATTCCGGCTTTTTGAGCCACGGTCAAATTTCTTCTTGCACTTCCCGAAGCCTTTTTGACTGGTCTCCCCATGCCATAAAGGGCCCTCTTGCCGAGGCCTCGATGCGGATCGTCTCATTTCCTCGGCACCCAGACTTGCCCTTGGCAACTTGGAGAGAACCATGGCCCAGTCCCCACATACAAAGTCTTCTTTGATTAAAAAATCACCTCCCAACCCCGTGGCTTGCGCGAACCGCCAGAACTTGGACCTCGGAAATGCCTCCCCCCAAACCCGCGCCCTGGCGTCTCTTCGCCTGGCCTTCGAAGGGTCGCGGCCGGCCTAGGCTGGCAATGGCATCTCCGAGCAACTGCCATGCACAAAAGCGATATGAACTTGGCTGCTGCAACGACACCTTTCCACACACTTCAACTTTTTTGTGGGTCCAATGGAAAATCCCACCTGTTTCAACCGAAAAATTGAAGTCCACAGATCCAACCAAATAACCATGAAACTGCAGAGGTTTCAGCCGCAGGCAGGTATGCTCCCACACTGGATTCATGTGCGAGTTCCAGTCCTAGGACGTCACAAGCACCTCTCTTTTGCAAGCTAAACGGCATGCCTTCGCGCCCTCTTAGGGAAACAAAGCAAACGGAACCCGCCGAGCTGCTTTGCGAGTCTTGGACAGCACAAAGGAGTCCTCAGCGTGGGAGACCGGGAGAGCGTCTCTGCAATCCCGCTGAGGAGGCAGCATCGCTGGTTCTCCACTCGACCACCGCAAAGGGATCCATCCTTGCCGGATCGAAATGCCACACGAGTTTCCATGGGAAGTGCCTTCAAAAATTGGTTGGACATGCATGCCCAGCTCCCGGCCTGCCAAACTTGTCAAAGTTCTTGGTCAGGTCTGCCTTCATGATCTTGAGCACCTTGGCGATCCGGCTGGTCTTGGATCGAAATGCTTAGGGCAAAGCCGCCCCCCAAAGCAGAGTCTCAACCCCGGCAATGAAGAGTACACCTCGCGCCTGCGAAGCCCCGGGACTGTATGAGAGATGTGCGAGCGCGCTGAATGCTGGGAGAGAGGGGCTATGAGCTGAGGCTTCAGCTAGGCAATGAGACCCTGATGGCAGATTGGAGAATAGATGATGGGGCAACGGGAGGAAGCGCATGCATCTTGTTCTTTGGAGCTTGCCGCAGTATGATGGCTGGGCACTAACAACAAACCGCTCCAGAGAGTACGACGGCAACCAGCGTCGGTCGATTTATTTTCACCGCACTGCCTCAAGTGGGTGGGATCGTACCTGTTGGTCGATCTGTTTCAATCTCTGGAGTCGGTGTGCGTGTCTCTCAGACACCACTGACTCGAAAGTAAAGTACAACAAATAAAAGGTAAGCAAATGCAAGTGCATGCAAACCCAAAATGTTGTACAGCAGAGTTTCGAAGAGGGAGTGGACGTTCTCCCGTCCTCTCACTCGATGCTATAAATGCAGACCGACAGGTACTGAGGGCATGCAGTGAAAACTGGTGAGGGTGGGTGGGAAAGAAAAATTTGGCTAATTCGCCAAAATGGCGAACGGAGCATGAATCAAGCAGTGTCATCCTGCAGGCACTCAAGGTTCGAATCTGAGTGTGATTCAAATGCCTTCCGCTATCGGTTGTTACTTTTAACACAAGTGTTAACCGCGACAAGATGGCACATATTCAGTGATGAGCAGGCCCGTCAAGATCGCGAAAAGCCGCTTGAGAAAACAAAAATATGCAATCTAACGAACCGTCATTGGCTGGAAGTGGTGCGAGAGGACCCCCCCGGACGAAGGCACCACGTGACATTTGGGAAGAAGACAGGCCGGAGAAGCCAAAGCGTCAGACACGCGGGAGCAAACAGCCGGCTTTGAGGCGCTGGGCTGGGGGGAAAAAAACGAAGTCAAGAGAACAGAAGGCAGGAGATAGAGCAAAACGGCAAAGATGTTCACGCTGGTGATGTTTTTTTTTTTGGGGGGGGGTTTAACCGACCCACATATGCCTGGTTTTCCTCTTGGTGTCCCTTGCAAACAGACCAACCAGGGGTATAAAAGACACACCCACTCTGTCACACAGGACAAGGGCCGTCCACAAAGAGGCCTTCTTCGGGAAGCGGCATGGGCACTGAGGCGGATGGCTGACATTTTGCCAGGATGAGGTAGAGGGGCAGCGGACAGTCACGGGGTGCACACGGGGCAGCTTGTGTTTTCTTGGCAAATGCCTGGCAGGCCTCCCGTTTAGAACTTAGCACCCTCACACCCTTCTCTGAAAGGGGGTTGGAACCACGCCAGTGTGGTGTTCAGCCGCAAGAGACATAGATGGGTGTATCCGTTTTTTAGGGGATGGTGCTGTCCTCTTAAAACCACCAAAAAATACCCTCCAAAAAAGACACACCCAGATGGCAAATATGCCCAGCCAAGAGCGCGGCGAGGCTCATTTGAAAACTCCTGGAACTCTCCTCGTCAAAAAGTTGACAGAATCGCACGGCATCTTTCAGCAGCTGCTCCTTTCTTTTGCTCCGCTATGTTGGCTCGGCAGGCGCGCTTTGGCCCACTTTGGCTGTATCACCCCGTGGCTGAGACGCATCCGTCGCGAGCTCTACTTTCGGATGGCCCATTAATGGATGATATCATCTATGCACCGAGGAGCACATTTCGCAACGTGCACACCAGGGCAAAGAGCAGCTCGAGAAAGCGGAAACCGGATCGCCCGCGTACTGGTTCTACTGAGCGCCTACATTGACTACATGTCATCCACCTTGCGCTTCTGGCACCTCGCTGTGATCACCACCAAGTCGTAGAAGCGAGACCGGAGGTAGTTGAAATGCACCGGGATGGATGACAAGTCCACGGACTCCACATTAAGGCCCAACGCCTCGCAGTCTTCCCAGAACTGCGGATACGCCGCCACCTCCGGCTTCAAAGTCGTGGACGAGAAGTACACTCGCTTCTCCTTTCCAGATGCACAACAGTCCGAACAATCGCACGCAACTCAAGCCCCCTGTCAGCCGTCGGTCTTTCTCCCAACATCCTCATCCCAGTCTACCTGTCTAATTCTACATGTGAACCCCCTTTCTCCCAACACCGTTGGCAGTTGGATGTCACTTCTGTTAACCAGTGCATGGGTCTGTCTCAAAGGAGGGGATGTCACTTTCTTTCCGGCTTCCGTTTAAAACCAAACAGGCCCACATCATGGCATCCTTCAACATAGGTGTCCTTTTTGGAAAATAGATGGCCCTGGTAGATGATTGAACCAGCAGGTAAACCAGGAATCGCCCTCTATGTTTTAAGCAAACCAACCAAAAAGGACACCTATGTCCTTCAGTTTTACCCCCTGGTCCAGGGACAGGTACAGAGCTCGGGCGCGTTTCTTCAGCAATTGGCTCGCCAGCTGCGCGAAGGACGCTGCCGCCTCCGCGTCGTAGATGACGTCCGCCGCCAGCAGCACCTCGCACTGCCACACCTCGCCGACGTCCAGCGACGGCGGGGCCTCCCAGCGGAGCACCTCCACGGTCACTGCCTCATTCAGAGGCTGGGCCCCCTCCGCGCGCTGGTAGGCACTAGGAGGGGGGAGAAAAAAGAAACATCTATTGAAGGAAGGCGTGGCTTTCCCAAAAAGGAAACTTGAGACAAGCACCCAAAACCAGCACAAACCCAACTTCTGGGAAGCCCCAAAAACAACAAACGGGAGCCCCCCACCCGCCCAGCGCCCAGCGCCCGCCTTGGCCCCGTTCTGCTGCAGGTTGCGGCGGCAGTTCTCGCACGCCTCGGCGCTGCCGTCGGTGCAGAGCACCTGCGCGCCGAGGCGGCCTGCTAGCAGCGAGCAAAGGCCCAGCCCCGCGCCCAGCTCGCAGACCTTTTTGTCTCTCACCACCTGAGGTCATAGGCAAAGCCATGGTGACTGTGGGTCAAACCCCAATCGTACCCCCAGTGAACATCCCAATTCCCACTAAAATATACTAAAATGGGTGGTGCACCTGTGAAGAACCACACAAAGAACCCAGCAAAACCCGGTACTAAACTGGTCCACCCAGAAACATGAAAAAAAGTACAAAAACGGAACCCGGAATGACAAGGATTATAACCGTGTAAAGAACTATGGCACGATGTACAGTATACCAAAAAAACAAAAAACGGTCACATTATCCCTTGCTTCCCTTCTACCCGGGTTGATCGTGGCTCACCTCTGGGCGCCAGAGCAGGAAGTCGCTCAGCACCAGCGCTCCCTGCAAATGAAAGGGGAGTCTGCCCAGGTGACCAGAGTTTTGTTCGGACACTCTCTGCAAGCAGGGACCCCCCCCAAAAAAAAAAAAGAGAGGAGAGGCCAAAACGTCACTCAGCACAGGCAGCCATTCAAATCCGCAAAAGACTTCCTCACTTGTTTCTTTTTTAAAGGGGGCAACAAGGGCTCACCACAAGCCCCCACCCCCAGCCCCCCCCCCCCCCCGCACACCCCCAACCCCCCCCCCACATCCCACCCCCCCCAACCCGGCCGCCCAGAGCTGCAGCCCCACCCGGTGCAGCTGCGACGAGGCGAGGCGCGCCAGCGCGATGCGCCAGCCCAGCAGCTCTGGGCGTGTGACGGGAGCCCAGGCCCCAAAGGTTTCAACGACCCCCCCCCCCCGCCACCAGAGGTTTGGGAAACCCCCAAACCAAAAAGGCACCAAGTATTCCGGCAAGAGAGGGGGCCCCCCCAAAGAAAAAGGCGCCCAAGAAGAAACCCTTGCCTGACTTCTTTGCCCCTGGTTTTGTCGGGATGGGAACGCGGGGGAGCCATTGGGGAAGGCCCCCTTGACAATTCTGGCCACTGGACCCCTCTCAAGTTCCAGTCTTAGAGTTTAGGTGGGTTCCACCGAAACTGCCCACCTTTTGGCCAAGGCAGCCTGCGGGGAAAGTATGAATCACACTGGTACAACCCTTCCCCAAGGCCAATGTAGTTTGGACAAATCCACACGGGAGGCAACTAAAAATGTGAACTCGCTCTTCGAGGAACCTTCACAGGCTCGCTTGTCCGATCGTTCTTGCGGAATCTCAAGCCGTGTCGGGCCCAGATCTTTGAGACGATTTCTTGCAGTTTGGGCCCGGCTTCTGCAAGCTGCCTCGGCGAGAAAAAGGGGGCTCCTTTCCAAAAGGCAAGGGTGTGACTAAGGCCAAATCAAGGTTTACCAGACCAAGTACAGGCCGGACTGCCAAGAGAGCCACGCGAGTAGTCAAGCAAGCAAGCAGGCTCACGAACAATTCGAAACCAAGTGCCGTGAGTTAGTTCAACAGAAAGCAGCGCGCGTCTGGTGGCGGGATCTCTGGAAAATTTAAAGCCAGTCGCAACTTCGCTGGCGGGTCCTTTCTCAGATATGGCCAGAGTTCCACTTTTTGCCCCAAGATAGACTGAAACCCAGGGATTCTCCTGTTAAGGGGAAAGAACCGCCCTAGTCAAAAAGTAGAACCCTGGCTAATTATGGCATGCCCCAAGTGTTGCGAGCCCCGGAGGTTCGGGGCCTGGTGCGGGGCTCGCTTGCAGCTCGCCCCGCGGCATGGCCAGGTCCCCGTCTTCATCCTCCACCACCGGGTGCCGCGGCGCCAGCACGTGCAGCACCGAGACCCGCCAGCCCTTGGACCCGGGAACTTGGCCTGGGAAATTAAAGGTCAAAGGTGCGGCTGGGGCCCGACTTTTGGGTGCGCTTGCTCTTCTTGCTTGTGGTGGTTCTTTTTTTTCCGCTAGTTCTTCGGTCCGGGGGGGAGGGGGAACAAAGCGAAAAGTGCAAGGGATGGCTTAAAACATGGAGGACAACAAAAAGGCGAGAGGTAGAGAAGGTGAGCTAAGTCTGGCCATGCGTCCCTTGCATTCTGCACGGAATCGGGGACCCCTAATGGAAGGTGCCCGCTGCAACAATTGGCAGTGCCGCCTCGCAAAAACTGCAAACAAATCCAGCCCGAAGGTTTAAAGGTAAGGTGTACTCGCAATTTTCCCGGCCCGGCCTAGCGGCAGCTCCTCCAAAGCAAGGCCGTCAGCTTCAATTATCCCGCAGATATCCCCGCTCTCGCTCTCGCTACTGTCCATCGGGGCTCATGCCTTCGAATTCAACTGCCGAATCGTACAGGCCAAGTATCGCAGTAGAATGCAGTGACAAGTCTGGATATGCTGGATCACTTCTTCTGGCCTTGCTCCGTGAGGCTGCAATACCGATTCTCATCGTCGCTGGAGCAAAAGCGCCAGAATGCGAGCAAAGCGGCACTGGTACGGCCTAGGCCTGCCGCACGCAGCGAGATGCATGCATGTATATATATATATATGTGTGTGTGTGTGTGTGCATGCGTAACATACAGTAACATATACATATCTAGTAGATTGATACCTCCACGCGTACATTTATGTAGGTGTTGGTATGTCTTTGCACCAGTATGTATATGTATCTACGTTGTTGTGTACCTTTTTACGTGTATTTGTGCATACACCTGTGTATGTGTGTGCGTGCATGCACGCTGCATTCAAAAACTGTGTCTGCTCCAATGACACGTCATGCAATTGCAAGCATTGGGCTCCAGTTGCGCGATCTCATCGTCACCCGCTTCAGATTCAGTCATCGTGACCTCGGCAGCAGCCCCACAAATGCTGATGGCTACATTAGCAGTAGCTCCCAAAAAAAGCAAAGCTGCTCAAAGCGTTGCGTTCTGGGTGCGCAAAGCCAACGCAAGTACCTACAACTTGTGCGACACGCACACATATATTGACATATCTAGATACATATGCAGGCATATACATATATACATATATTGACATATCTAGATACATACGCAGGCATATATATATATATATATCGCTCCATGTTATATCAAACTATACTGTAGTATAGTATGTTACATGGAGCTACACTATGCTACATTGCTATTATTCTGACAGTAGATAGATGTATTCAGTACTTTATTTTTTTGTAAATGAATGACAAATGTAAATTTATATATTTATACATATTCAATCATATATGTGTCTACTTATATGCGCGCACAGACACACAAACACACCAACCCACGCGCACCCCATGCCACACACCCTCGTTTGGCACACCGCGCTGGGCTAAGCCTGGGCCGCCAAGCTTGAAGGCAAGGGCCTCAACACGGCCCAAGTCAGGGATTCTGAAAAGAAGGGAGTGTTGGCTGGCCCGTGGAGCGATCTGCTTCGGTTTCTTGTCAATCTCGGGCCCAGAGCTGCGGAACCAATGGAAGACAAGAGGTCCAGAAGCTGGGTGCCGCATCAAGCTCGAATCGCGAAAAAGTGAAGCTTTGTCCCATGCAGCAGTTGCCAAGCAGCACGCAGCCATATGGGTTTGTCCCCTTTGAGGGTACCCTTTTGGCGTCGTTTTACTGGGGAGACGTTCCCTCCCTCGGGTGGCGAACCCATATGCCTGGGCACGACCAAAAGAGCTACAACGCTATCACGTGAGGGGCGGCCTTTAGCCCCCCATATGGTGAAATGCTTGCGCAGCCTTGAGCTCACGCAAGTGTAGAAACAAGGGGGGCGTGTACTCGCACAACTTGACCTGGAAAACCTATTTCTAGCGATGATACATTCCCCTTTAAACCAACAGGGCAATATTCTTAAGCAAATGGAAGATGTGCTTTGTTTTGTCGTGACATCGGTGTTGGTGTTTCAAGCTGGTGTCATCCCGTGCAGACTGAATGCCATGGGTTGAGTGCACCTCAACTCTGCTCACTTGTCGGGCTGTCAGGGCTGTCCTGAGGCCAATCTGGAGCATGCTAGCTTGTAGCTCTGACGCATCCGTCCTCATCCTCGTAGTCTGGCTCATATTCATCATCGTTATCATCTTCATAGTCGTCTTCATACTCGTCTTCTCCCTCATCTTGAACCTCGCGCATGAAACGAGGAACGAAAAGTGGCACGCACGGCTCAACTCAAGGGTATGGGCATAGGCCTGCGCATTGGTGTCTTCCTTGTCCTCATCCTCTGAGTCCAGTAGTTGCTGCATGGCAACAAATCCTGTGCCTGGCGTGCATTTCAGGCACCCGTGCGGGTTCAAGCAAGCTTGTAGAGTAGCCGCAGCCTAAGCAAACATCAACAGGACCCTGCACACAACACACAACCCATCTGGCCTTGTCGAGGAGCCTGGACCTTCCCATCTGCTGCTTGGCGAACTTCCTGGTAGAAACCGCAGACACCACGCAGCTGGCTCTGCGTGACCCCCGTAACCCTGCACGATGGAAGTCGCAAACTGCTGCTGATGCCTTCCTCTTAGAGCCGGGCCGATGAAAAACTCACTTTCCGCTGCGTCTCTGCCTGATGCGCGTTGGTTTGTGCAAGCGGGGAGCACTGCCACTTCTAAGCCTCTTCGGCATCCTCATCCTCGTCTGAGTCCGGCAGATTTGCCATAGGCACAAAGCCAGTGCCTGCTGAGCATAACCATCATCAGCAATGTAAAATCCAACAAGAGCCACACGCACACACAAACACCACGATTTGCAGCACACAACACCACTCAAGCAAGACTGGACCAGCGTGCTCGGCCTTTCCGTTGGCTCTTCGACAAGGTATCTGCTTCTGGGGTGCCCACCTCCTGAGTGGGAAAGTGTCGATCCAAGCTTTGCTGTGAACACGCGGCTGCCAGTGTTTTTGGCGCATGTCTTCTTCTGCACCCCGTTTCTTATCATGTTTTGCCCAGTTGTCCATCCTGTTGCACTCCCTATTCGCTCACGCCTTCACACGGACCCACATACAATTTCAGCAACTCTTCTTCCAGGCTCAACTGTTTATTATTCGCTCTCTCTCTCTCTCGCTCTCCATGATCTTTCCTTTAAACCTCCTTTCTTCTGCATGTTGCTTGAATCTGCGTTTGCTGCGCTGCTCTCAGCTTTCTGATTTCTGTTGCTGTGACTCTCACCTCTCCTATGTTAGCGCTCGGATCAATCCCGCCATGTCGAAGCGTTTGGCATGCCAAACATCATGCCAAACATACAACTGCTGGCACATGTCATGAACTAAGCCCCGGACGGCAGAGAAACTCACCTTCCGCTGCCTCTCTGCCTGATCAACGCATTGGTTTCTGTCGATGGGCAACCCTCACAACAATAAGACGCAATGATTGTACTTCTCAGCCTCTTCGGCATCCTCATCCTCGTCGGAGTCCGGCAGATTTGCCATAGGCACAAAGCCAGTGCCTGACCAACCCCGCCCCTGCTGAGCATAACCATCATCAGCAACGTGAAATCCAACATGAGCCGCACGCGCACACAAACACAGGACCAGCGTGCTCGGCCTTTCCGTTGGCTCTTCGACAAGGTATCTGCTTCTGGGGTGCCCACCTCCTGAGTGGGAAAGTGTCGATCCAAGCTTTGCTGTGAACACGCGGCTGCCAGTGTTTTTGGCGCATGTCTTCTTCTGCAGCCCCGGTTTCTTATCATGTTTTGCCCAGTTGTCCATCCTGTTGCACTCCCTATTCACTCACGCCTTAACACGGACCCACATACAATCTCTCTGATTATTATTCACTCTCCCTATCTCTCTCTCTCTCACTCTCTCTCTCTCTCTCTCCTTCCATTCTCTCTCCCTTAAACCCCCTTTCTTCTGCGTGTTGCTCGAATCTGCGTTTGCTGCGTTGCTCTCAGCTTTCTGATTTCTGTTGCTGTGACTCTCACCTCTCCTATGTTAGTGCTCGGATCAATCCCGCCATGTCGAAGTTTTGGCATGCCAAACATCATGCCAAACATACAACTGCTGGCACATGTCATGAACTAAGCCCCGGACGGCAGAGAAACTCACCTTCCGCTGCCTCTCTGCCTGATCAACGCATTGGTTTCTGTAGATAGGCAGCACTCACAACAATAAGACGCAATGATTGTACTTCTCAGCCTCTTCGGCATCCTCATCCTCGTCGGAGTCCGGCAGATTTGCCATAGGCACAAAGCCAGTGCCTGACCAACCCCGCTCCTGCTGAGCAAAACCATCATCAGCAACGTGAAATCCAACATGAGCCGCACGCGCACACAAACACACAAACACACAAACACACAAACACACAAACACACAAACACACAAACACACAAACACACAAACACACAAACACACAAACACACAAACACACAAACACACAAACACACAAACACACAAACACACACACACACACAGACACAGACACAGACACAGACACAGACACAGACACAGACACAGACACACACACAGACACACACAGACAAACACAAACACCACGATTTGCAGCACACAACACCACTCAAGCAAGACTGGACCAGCGTGCTCGGCCTTTCCGTTGGCTCTTCGACAAGGTATCTGCTTCTGGGGTGCCCACCTCCTGAGTGGGAAAGTGTCGATCCAAGCTTTGCTGTGAACACGCGGCTGCCAGTGTTTTTGGCGCATGTCTTCTTCTGCAGCCCCGGTTTCTTATCATGTTTTGCCCAGTTGTCCATCCTGTTGCACTCCCTATTCACTCACGCCTTAACACGGACCCACATACAATCTCTCTGATTATTATTCACTCTCCCTATCTCTCTCTCTCTCACTCTCTCTCTCTCTCTCTCCTTCCATTCTCTCTCCCTTAAACCCCCTTTCTTCTGCGTGTTGCTCGAATCTGCGTTTGCTGCGTTGCTCTCAGCTTTCTGATTTCTGTTGCTGTGACTCTCACCTCTCCTATGTTAGCGCTCGGATCAATCCCTCCATGTCGAAGTGTTTGGTATGCCAAACATCATGCCAAGCACACAACTGCTGGCACATGTCATGAACTAAGCCCCGGACGGCAGAGAAACTCACCTTCCGCTGCCTCTCTGCCTGATCAACGCATTGGTTTCTGTATATAGGCAGCACTCACAACAATAAGCCGGAATGATTGTACTTCCCAGCCTCTTCGGCCTCCTCATCCTCGTCGGAGTCCGGCAGATTTGCCATAGGCACAAAGCCAGTGCCTGACCAAACCCGCCCCTGCTGAGCATAACCATCATCAGCAACGTGAAATCCAACATAAGCCACAAACTCAAGCAAGACTGGACCAGCGTGCTCGGCCTTTCCGTTGGCTCTTCGACAAGGTATCTGCTTCTGGGGTGCCCACCTCCTGAGTGGGGAAGTTTCTTATCATGTGTTGCCAAGTTGTCCTTCCTGCTGCACTTCCTAGTCGCCCATGCCTTCACGATAATCCACATGCTATCTTATCAACACTCCCTCTTCTCTTTGAGCCTCTCTGTCCCCTGTCCCTCTCTCTCTCTCTCTCTCTCTCTCTCTCCATTCTCTTTCTCTCTTCTCTCTCCTTTAAACCCCCTTTGTTCTGCGTGTTGCTCGAATCTGCGTTTGCTGCGTTGCCCTCAGCTTTCTGATTTCTGTTGCTGTGACTCTCACCTCTCCTATGTTAGCGCTCGGATCAATCCCGCCATGTCGAAGTTTTTGGCATGCCACGCATACAACTGCTGGCACATGTCATGAACTAAGCCCCGGACGGCAGAGAAACTCACCTTCCGCTGCCTCTCTGCCTGATCAACGCATTGGTTTCTGTCGATGGGCAGCCCTCACAACAATAAGCCGGAATGATTGCACTTCTCAGCCTCTTCGGCCTCCTCATCCTCGTCTGAGTCCGGCAGATTTGCCATAGGCACAAAGCCAGTGCCTGCTGAGCATAACCATCATCAGCAACGTAAAAACCAACAAGAGCCACACGCACACACAAACACCACGATTTTCAGCACACAACACCACTCAAGCAAAACTGGACCAGCGTGCTCGGCCTTTCCGTTGGCTCTTCGACAAGGTATCTGCTTCTGGGGTGCCCACCTCCTGAGTGGGAAAGTGTCGATCCAAGCTTTGCTGTGAACACGCGGCTGCCAGCGTTTTTGGCGCATGTCTTCGTCTGCAGCCCCGTTTCTTATCATGTTTTGCCAAGTTGTCCATCCTGTTGCACTTCCTAGTCGCTCATGCCTTCAAGATAATCCACCTGCTATCTGATCAACTCTCCCCCTCTCTGAGGCTCTGTCTCCCCTCTCTCGCCTCGCTCTCCCCTCTCTCCCTCTCGCTCTCTCTCGCTCTCCCTCTCGCTCTCCCTGTCTCTCTCTTTCTCTGCATTCTCTCTCTCTCTCTCCATTCTCTCTCCCTTAAACCCCCTTTCTTCTGGGTGTTGCTCGAATCTACCTTTGCTGCGTTGCTCTCAGCTTTTTGATTTCTGTTGCTGTGACCCGCCATGTGAAAGTTTTTGGCATGCCAAAGATCATGCCAAGCATACAACTGCTGGCACATGTCATGAACTAAGCCCCGGACGGCAGAGAAACTCACCTTCCGCTGCCTCTCTGCCTGATCAACGCATTGGTTTCTGTAGATAGGCAGCACTCACAACAATAAGCCGGAATGATTGCACTTCTCAGCCTCTTCGGCCTCCTCATCCTCGTCTGAGTCCGGCAGATTTGCCATAGCCACAAAGCCAGTGCCTGCTGAGCATGACCATCATCAGCAACGTAAAAACCAACAAGAGCCACACGCACACACAAACACCACGATTTGCAGCACACAACACCACTCAAGCAAAACTGGACCAGCGTGCTCGGCCTTTCCGTTGGCTCTTCGACAAGGTATCTGCTTCTGGGGTGCCCACCTCCTGAGTGGGAAAGTGTCGATCCAAGCTTTGCTGTGAACACGCGGCTGCCAGTGTTTTTGGCGCATGTCTTCGTCTGCAGCCCCGTTTCTTATCATGTTTTGCCAAGTTGTCCATCCTGTTGCACTTCCTAGTCCCTCATGCCTTCAAGATAATCCACATGCTATCTGATCAACTCTTCCCCTCTCTGAGGCTCTGTCTCCCCTCTCTCGCCTCGCTCTCCCCTCTTTCCCTCTCGCTCTCTCTCGCTCTCCCTCTCGCTCTCTCTCTCTCTCTCTTTCTCTATCTCTCTCTCTCTCTCTCTCTCTCCATTCTCTCTCCCTTAAACCCCCTTTCTTCTGCATGTTGCTTGAATCTACGTTTGCTGAGTTGCCCTCAGCTTTCTGTTGCTGTGACACTCACCTCTCCCATGTTGCCGCTCGGATCAATCCCCCGCCATGTCGAAGTTTTGGGCATGCCAAACATCATGCCAAGCATACAACTGCTGGCACATGTCATGAACTAAGCCCCGGACGGCAGAGAAACTCACCTTCCGCTGCCTCTCTGCCTGATCAACGCATAAGTTTCTGTATATAGATAGGCAGCACTCACAACAAAAAGCTGGAATGATGATGCTTCTCAGCCTGTTCGGCATCCTCATCCTCGTCGGAGTCCGGCAGATTTGCCATAGGCACAAAGCCAGTGCCTGACCAACCCCGCCCCTGCTGAGCATAACCATCATCAGCAACGTGAAATCCAACATGAGCCACACACTCAAGCAAGACTGGACCAGCGTGCTCGGCCTTTCCGTTGGCTCTTCGACAAGGTATCTGCTTCTGGGGTGCCCACCTCCTGAGTGGGAAAGTGTCGATCCAAGCTTTGCTGTGAACACGCGGCTGCCAGTGTTTTTGGCGCATGTCTTCTTCTGCACCCGTTTCTTATCATGTGTTGCCAAGTTATCCATCCTGTTGCACTCCCTATTCACTCACGCCTTCACACGGACCCACATACAATTTCAGCAACTCCCCTTCCAGGCTCACCTGTTTATTATTCGCTCTCTCTCTCTCTCTCTCGCTCTCCATGATCTTTCCTTTAAACCCCCTTTCTTCTGCATGTTGATTGAATCTGCGTTTGCTGCGCTGCTCTCAGCTTTCTGATATCTGTTGCTGTGACTCTCACCTCTCCTATGTTAGCGCTCGGATCAATCCCGCCATGTCGAAGTTTTTGGCATGCCAAACATCGGCCAAGCATACAACTGCTGGCACATGTCATGAACTAAGCCCCGGACGGCAGAGAAACTCACCTTCCGCTGCCTCTCTGCCTGATCAACGCATTTGTTTCTGTCGATGGGCAGCCCTCACAACAATAAGCCGGAATGATTGTACTTCTCAGCCTCTTCGGCCTCCTCATCCTCGTCTGAGTCCGGCAGATTTGCCATAGGCACAAAGCCAGTGCCTGCTGAGCATAACCATCATCAGCAACGTAAAATCCAGCCAGGGCCACACGCACACACACACAAACACCACGATTTGCAGCACACAACACCACTCAAGCAAAACTGGACCAGCGTGCTCGGCCTTTCCGTTGGCTCTTCGACAAGGTATCTGCTTCTGGGGTGCCCACCTCCTGAGTGGGAAAGTGTCGATCCAAGCTTTGCTGTGAACACGCAGCTGCCAGTGTTTTTGCGCATGTCTTCTTCTGCAGCCCCGTTTCTTATCATGTGTTGCCAAGTTGTCCATCCTGTTGCACTTCCTAGTCGCTCATGCCTTCAAGACAATCCACATGCTATTTGATCAACTCTCCCCCTCTCTGAGGCTCTGTCTCCCCTCTCTCGCCTCGCTCTCCCCTCTGTCCCTCTCGCTCTCTCTCGCTCTCCCTCTCGCTCTCTCTCGCTCTCCCTCTCGCTCTCTCTCTCTCTCTCTCTCTCTCTCTCTCTCTTTCTCTTCATTCTCTCTCCCTTGAACCCCTTTCTCTTGCATGTTGCTTGAATCTACGTTTGCTGCGGTGACTCTCACCTCCCATGTTGCTGCTCGGATCAATCCCTCCGCCGTGTCGAACTTTTGAGCATGCCAAAATCACGCCGAACCTACAACAGCTGGCACATGTCATGAACTAAGCCCCGGACGGCAGAGAAACTCACCTTCCGCTGCCTCTCTGCCTGAACTGATGGTCTTTGGTTTCTGTAGATGGGAAGCACTCACATCAACAAGCTGGAATGATGGTACTTCTCAGCCTCTTCGGCCTCCTCATCCTCGTCTGAGTCCGGCAGATTTGCCATGGGCACAAAGCCAGTGCCTGCTTGGCTTCCCCCACCCTTCTCCATCAGGAGAAGCAACTTGAGAAGGGAAAATCGAAAGTTGCTTCTTGCAAGAAGAGCAGGCCTTTGTGGGTGGCTGTGGATGCTCTAAGACCAGCTTGGCTTACACAAGTCCTCTTGATCCTCGGGTTCCGTGGCCCCCCCAAAAAAAATTGACCCAAGAGTGAGGAGACGCCGTCACCATGCCTGAAAGGATGGAATTTGAGGGCGCTTCAGCAGCGCCGGTTTGAGGCTTGGGTCATGCCCCAGCGTCCGGCGGGCCCAGTCGAGCAATGTTTTTTTTTGGGTGGTTCGGGGCCTATCACTACTTGCACGCCTATGCGAAGGCCTACGCAAGCCTACGCGGCCTGCGAGGGGTGCCTACACGAGCACAAGGCAGCTTCCAGGTGCCTACGCGGATGCCAACGCGGGCAAATGGCAGTTTTGGCAGCTCCGGCTCTAAGATCAGAAATGCAGCACAAGTGAGAATGCAAGGATCTGGCTGCTAGACAAGGTCTACGTGCCCGAAATGCCTTGAAAGCCTACGCGAATGCCTACGCTGGGCATACGCGGAGCCTACGCGAAGACTGCAGAACAAACAGAAGGAAGGCAAAAGAAGCAAATTCCTTTCGTGGCAAACAGCCCTGAGTCATGATTTGCTCAACAAACGCCTACGCGAGGGGTGACACAACAGCCTACGCGCTGAAGCCTACGCGAGCCTACGCCCCCAACCAGGATTGCCTCCGCAAAATACATGCAGTTCCCTTTTTGTATAATGTTGGACCTCCTCTATTATTGGTACTCGGTATTGTAGAAAAAAATCCTAATTCAGAATCCTGTGACTGTTTTAACGGTTCGCTATTGTGGCAAGTTTTTTGCCCCCCCCCCCCCAGAAAAATCTAAAAAAACACATAGCTTTTTTCTTCGCTTTCTGGATTTGCCCGGGCTCAGGCTAAACTTGCTAAGCCTTGGTAGCTCCTGTTCAGCTGGAGGCGGGTTCTGAGCTAGCTAGAATTGGGAATTTGTTTTCTTGAAGTGGTCCCCAAACCATCAAATTTAAGATAACTTCTTTACAAAAAAGTGCGGGCAAACAGTCACACAAAGGGGGGTGCCCACAAGAGGCCCAGATCCTCTTTAATGCGATTGTTTTGGGGTCCTCTTTAGTGTCCAGTGCTTTCGGGGTTGCTGAAAACTGAAAACCAAAGCCTCAGCCTTTTACTTTTAAAGAAGGGGACTCATCCTAAGCTCTCCCCAGCTCAAAGGTTAAAGGCCTGAGATCTAGGAAATCGATTTTGCAAGTTGTTCCCAAACCATCAAATTTAAGATAACTTCTTTACAAAAAAGTGCGGGCAAACAGTCACACAAAGGGGGGTGCCCACAAGAGGCCCAGATCCTCTTTAATGCGACTGTTTTGGGGTCCTCTTTAGTGTCCAACTGGTTTCGGGGGTTGCTTAAAAAACGACCCTTGACAATACTAAAGTAGAATTGGCAATACTTAAGTAAGTACTGGGGATCTGAGAGTCAGCCTTGGCAATACTAAAGTAGAATTGGCAATACTAAAGTAAGTACTGGGGATCTGAGAGTCAGCCTTGGCAATACTAAAGTAGAATTTGCAATACTTAAGTAAGTACCAGGGATCTGAGAGTCAGCCTTGGCAATACTAAAGCAGAATTGGCAATACTAAAGTAAGTACTGTCCCTCCCAGATCCCCCAGGATCTCCCTAAAGAGAGTCCCGCCGACTGGTTCCACTGTTCCAGGGGGGGGGGGATCACACTAAACAGAGTCCAACATTAAACCCTTTCATTTGAGTAAAACCGCTGCTCCGCCAGTGTCTATTGGCGGCCAAAACTCTTTGCTCACCCACAGCGAAACAAGGTGACACGATCACGGCTGAGTTGTAGCTAAGAGTATGGCAGAGTTCTGCGCCGAGCGAAATCTAAAACACTGGTCAATGATCAGCACCATTGCAGTGAATGATTTGGCAATGGAACTTCATCATGAACCTCATTCAAGCCAATCTGAGGGCTGTTTAATCGGGAGCCTTCCATGTTTGCGAAGAATCCTGGCAATTTGCCAACTTGGGACAATCCGTGGGGGGGCCCCCATTTTCAAAAGCCCGGCTTTTTCGGGGAAAGCCTTCCCCAAGCAAATCCGATCGATCAATCCCCCGCCTTGGCGGGGCCCCTGGTGGCCGTTGCCCGGCTGCGCATCCTGCGCATCCTGCCGACTTATTGGCACAGACGGCTGGTACCGTCGCACGCCACACACACATGCAGAAACAATTCCTTCGCTTCGAGCAATCCCCACCCTCCACACGCACGAGCTTGCGACCGTGAACACGGTTGTGTGAACTCAAGCATGGTTTTCGAGTGGCTTGGGCCCTATGACTGCTCAACAAGCTTTGCGTGGAGAGCCTTATCCACCTGTCTGCGTGTCAAACTCCACTTGTCTGAGAGCCGATCTCGAGAACTGAAACATCGGTTCCGCTAACAAAAGCCAAGCCCCTTCCAAAAAGAAACCCCACGGAGGATTAAACGAAGTTGCTTATTCACAACCCAAAGCAACACAAAAGCATCACCCTTTCCGAGGCTCAGGGTACACTCAAAACACGAAGGCACCAACATGAAATGCAAACCCAACGCCAAATCGGACTGGCGAGCTGCTCTGGCGGGATACTGGCGGGATCAACTGGCGAATACTGACGAGCCGCTCCGGCTCGATACTGGCCGGATACTCGGTAGGATCCACCGGCAAGGGATACTCAGTGGGATGCTCGACGGGATCCACCGCCACAGCGATCCCGCCGAGTATCCCGCCAGAGCGGCTCGCCAGTGGATCCCCCCGAGCCGAGTATCCCGCCAGAGCAGCTGGCCAGTGGATCCCGGCCTGTGGTGGGATACTCGGCGGGATCCACTGGCGAGCTACTCTGGCGGGATACTCGGCGGGATCCACTGGCGAGCTACTCTGGGATACTCAGCGGGATACTCGGCGGGATCCAGGGATCCACTCACGAGCCGCTCTGGCGGGATACTCGGCGGGATCCACTGGCGAGCAGCTCTGGCGGGATACTCGGCGGGATCCACTGGCGAGCTGCTCTGACACTCGGCGGGATCCACTGGCGAGCTGCTCTGGCGGGATACTGGGTGGGGGCGTGGTGTAAAGCATCGCAAACGCGGATTCCAACATAAAATCTAACAACCCCTTCCTGTCGGGTGGGGAAAACAAACAACAGAACGCCGGTGACACCTACCTTTGCCGCTACATGGGTTGTTCAAACACCTATGGAGCTCACGTGTCCAGCGGCTTCTCCATAATCTGAGCTCCCCACTGCGGAGAAAGTGACCTGGCGCATCTCCTGGGCGCAGGTAGTTATGACTGAGATTTGGGGCAGTCACCGCCTGGGCTGACTGAACCGGAATGACACTGGGGACAACATGGAACAACCCCGCCCGAGCAGCGCTTAAAGCTGGTTCTCCTCATCCTCCTCATCTGAGTCCGGCAAGTTTGCCACTGGGACAAAGCCCGTACCTGGTCGCAACCCATCCAAATCTGGCCAGCTGGCCAGGAAGCCCGGCCTTTCCTCTGGGCCTTCGACAGTTTGTCCGCCTCTTCGCTTCTGAGCTCCTAAGCTGCCCGGCGTATTACTGAGTGACGGTTTGGAAGCAATTTTGGTCGTATTCGGCACGTCCTCACGCTCAACGGCACAATAGGAATCCGAATGACACGTTCCGTAAACTGCACTCCATGGCACTCGCTGAAAGCGATCATGCAACTGTCAAACCAAGCCCCGCACCCCGGAGAAACTCACCTTGCGCTCCCTCTCTGCCTATCATTCAAGCCACATCATGCTTCCGCCCCGTGTCACCGCAGACTGGCACGAAAACCATTGAGGCAAATGCAGCTTCGATCGACATTCTGGGCTGCCCTTCCTTGTGCAACTGCCACGTCAAGCGAATGCACCTCTGATCTAACAGCAGCGTGTGCAACCAACACCGTTTTCCGTGTGGTGCCTCAAAAGCCGTTCAGTCAAAGGCCGTACTTCCCACAAGCAATCAAAGCTCCAAAAACTCTATGCTCTAGAGATGCTAAAGGCACCAAGTGCCAACAAGACCACCAAAGCAACAGAATCACTGCATTTCCAGGCCTCCCTCTCCTCTTCCTCCTCCTCCTCATCTGAGTCGGGCAAGTTTGCCACTGGGACAAAGCCCGTACCTGGTCGCAATCCCATCGGATCACTACGGCCACTTCAGGTGTCAGAGTTCGACCAACAAAACTGGCCAGCTGGCCCGGGAAGCCCGGCCTTTTCTCTGGGCCTTCGACAGTTTGTCCGCCTCTTGGCTTCCGAGCTCCTTAGCTGCCCAGCGTTTACTTACGAAGCGCTTCTTCTCACTTCCTTGCGCCAAACCACCTTGAAAAAAGCGCTTTGATTCGAAAGCATCCACCGGCATTAAAAACTTGTTCCGTTCGTTTCTGGCAGTTCTGACTCAACTGAAAAAAAAAAAAAAAAAACATACACTGCCATGTACCGCAATCGCTAAAAGCGATCGTGAAGACAAGCCCTGCACGCCAGAGAAACTCACCTTGCGCTGCCTTTCTGCCTGACATTGACTCAGAAGCATGTGGCCAGCCGCACCACAGAGCGAACCGTGATCGACATTTAGGAACCTCCTTGACAGGACACTTATGAAAAGGTCATTCAGTCAAAACTCGGGTGTACTGGGAGCAAGGAGGGAGCGTGTGATTGACTGGACCAACAAAAACCTACAAAAAGAGCAAAAACGGCAGCATCATTGCACTACCAGGCCCCCCCTCTCCTCTTCCTCCTCCTCATCTGAGTCGGGCAAGTTTGCAACTGGGACAAAGCCCGTACCTGGTCGCAATCCCATCGGATCACTACGGCCACTTCAGGAGTCAGAGTTCGACACCAGCTAACCAGGAAGCCCGGCCTTTCCTCTGGGCCTTCGACAGTTTGTCCGCCTCTTCGCTTCCGAGCTCCTTAGCTGCCCAGCGTATACTCAAGAAATCTCAAGAAGCAATTCATCCTGTACCTTTTGACACACTTTGCGCTCATGCACGTTGAAAAAGCACTCGAACGCTATCATCCACCAACATGATTTGCCTGGCACGCACTTATGCGTTCTTCCATTGTGTCCATAGTTGCTATGGCTTCATACACAAATCGCTAAAAGCGATTTGAAGACAAGCCCCGCACACCAGAGAAACTCACCTTGCGCTGCCTTTCTGCCTGACATTGACTCAGAAGCATGCGCCCGCCCCGCCGGACACAGAGCGAACTGGCCGCCATGTTATGGAGGAAAGGGCGCTCTAGCCTGCTCGAAATCCCGGGCCCTAATCGCAATCCGCAATCGGCTGCCAACTTGGGGTTAACACCGTGTGTTGGAGTTAGAGCATGGAAAAGCGTGCCAGCCCACCAACCCACAATCCACAATCCGCATGGTATAGTTCGAAACCCGCACACTCCGTATTGCGCTACTCATTTGGGGATTCGGTTTTGAACAAACTAGGCACTGATCGACATTTAGGGAACCCCTTGACATCAAGAGCAAGCAACCCTACCAAGTGCTACACACTGCACTGGCGGCCAACAGCAGCTTGCAGAAAAAAAAACTCGTGGAAAAAGGTCATTCAGTCAAACCTCGGCTGTGTTAAAAGCGAAAAGGAAGCACTTAAAGCTCTAAGAGGACCAACAAATACCGATCATGGCGCTACCAGGCCTCCCTCTCCTCTTCCTCCTCCTCATCTGAGTCGGGCAAGTTAGCCACTGGGACAAAGCCCGTACCTGGTCGCAATCCCATCGGATCACTACGGCCACTTCAGGTGTCAGATTTCGACCAACAAATCTGGCCATCTGGCCGGGAAGCCCGGCCTTTCCTCTGGGCCTTCGACAGTTTGTCCGCCTCTTCGCTTCCGAGCTCCTTAGCTGCCCAGCGTATACTTACGAAGCGCTTCTTCTCACTTCCTTGCGCCCAACCACCAATTCGAAAGCTTGCGGTCCGTTCCTTTCTGGCAGTTGACTCAACTGAAAAAAACATACACTGCCATGTACCGCAATCGCTAAAAGCGATCGTGAAGACAAGCCCTGCACGCCAGAGAAGCTCACCTTGCGCTGCCTTTCTGCCTGACATTGACTCAGAAGCATGTGGCCAGCCGCACCACAGAGCGAACTGTGATCGACATTTAGGAACCTCCTTGACGACAGGACACTCAAGGGTCATTGAGTCAAAACTCGGATGTACTAGGAGCAAGGAGGGAGCATTTGAAGCGCTAACTGGATCAACAAACAACTTGCAAAAACTGCAAAGCAGTAGCATCGCTGTAATTTCAGGCCTGATTCTCCTCTTCCTCCTCGTCTGAGTCGGGCAAGTTTGCCACTGGGACAAAGCCCGTACCTGGTCGCAATCCCATCGGACCACTACGGCCACTTCAGGAGTCAGAGTTCGACACCAGCTAACCAGGAAGCCCGGCCTTTCCTCTGGGCCTTCGACAGTTTGTCCGCCTCTTCGCTTCCGAGCTCCTTAGCTGCCCAGCGTATACTCAAGAAATGTCAAGAAGCAATTCACCCTGTACCTTTTGACACACTTTGCGCTCATGCACGTTGAAAAAGCACTCGAACGCTATCATCCACCAACATGATTTGCCTGGCACGCACTTATGCGTTCTTCCATTGTGTCCATAGTTGCTATGGCTTCATACACAAATCGCTGAAAGCGATGTGAAGACAAGCCCCGCACACCAGAGAAACTCACCTTGCGCTGCCTTTCTGCCTGACATTGACGCAGAAGCATGCGCCCGCCGCGCTGGACACAGAGCGAACTGGCCGCCATGTTGTGGAACAAAGTGCGCTGATCGACATTTAGAGCCCCCCTTCACGGCGGTCACATCAAGAGCGAGCTACCCTGCAAAGCGCACTAGCAGCCAAAAGAAGCTTACGCAATACATACCCACCCATGGAAAGATCAATCAGCCAAAACTTGGCCGTGCTAGGAGTGAAAAGACAGCACTTTCAGCGCCAACAAGACCAATCAATTCCTGCAGATACAGCAAAGGAAACAGCTTCGCTGCATTACCAGGCCTCCCTCTCCTGTTCTTCCTCCTCGTCTGAGTCGGGCAAGTTTGCCACTGGGACAAAGCCCGTACCTGGTCGCAATCCCATCGGACCACTACGGCCACTTCAGGAGTCAGAGTTCGACACCAGCTAACCAGGAAGCCCGGCCTTTCCTCTGGGCCTTCGACAGTTTGTCCGCCTCTTCGCTTCCGAGCTCCTTAGCTGCCCAGCGTATACTCAAGAAATCTCAAGAAGCAATTCATCCTGTACCTTCTGCCGCTCTTCCGCTTTAATTCGAAAGCTGGCGTCCACCAACATGGGAAATTTCCCTGGCACGCACTTGTGCTGATCTTCTTCCGTTTCTGGCAATTATGGCTTCATACGCTGCCATGCATCGCAATCGCTGAAAGCGATCAAAACAAGCCCCGCACGCCAGAGAAACTCACCTTGCGCTGCCTTTCTGCCTGACAAGCATGCACCCGGCCCGCCGGAAACCGAGCGAACTGGCCGCCATGTCGTGGAAAGGGCACTGATCGACATTTGGGAAGCCCCCTTCACGGCAGTGACAGCAGTGACATCAAGAGCAAGCTGCCCTGTAAGCGCACTGGCAACCAAAAGAAGCTTACGCAAGACACCCACCAATGGAAAGGTCAATCAGTCAAAGCTCGGCCGCGCTAGGAGTGAAAGAGAGCACTTAAAGGGCCAACAGGACCAACCCATACCTGTAGAAACAGCAAAAACAGCAGCATCGCTGCAATTCCAGGCCTCCCTCTCCTCTTCTTCCTCCTCATCTGAGTCGGGCAAGTTTGCCACTGGGACAAAGCCCGTACCTGGTCGCAATCCCATCGGATCACTACGCCCACTTCAGGAGTCAGAGTTCGACACCAGCTAACCAGGAAGCCCGGCCTTTCCTCTGGGCCTTCGACAGTTTGTCCGCCTCTTCGCTTCCGAGCTCCTCACACGGTTGCCTTCCCGTTCAATCTTCATTACAATTCAAATCCCCAGACCACAAATCAATCCTTGGTTGCTCTATGCTCCCCTGCTAAAAGTTTAACTTTTAGTGGTTTAATGGAAAACCCATTGGTTGGCAAAAAGTTAAAGTCCTAACATCCAAGCAAAATGCACCAAAGAATCCGAATCTGACAGCTGCCCTGCAAAAACTCCAACGCTGTCGCACGCCCCGCACGCCGCAGAAGCTCACCTTTCGCTTGGACTCCGTGGCCTGCTTGGCAAACAGGATCCAAAAGGGCTCCCATGCACTCACCAATGCCCCTCCCCAAAGCATACCCCCTTGTCAAAGCGCCCCTGGCGCTTGGAATGTGTGTTCGGTGCCTCCTCAGGCTCTTCCTCAAACTCATCCTCAAAGTCTGGGATGTAAGCTGCCACGAAGCCGGTACCTCCAGTGTCATGTGTCGCAACGGTCTGTTTGGGAGAGCGGTCCGTGTACCTGTTTATCCCTCTGCGGAAAATATTGGCATACCTCCAAAAGCAAACGTGCACCTTTTGTTTGAGGGCACCCAAAACATTTGTGCAAGCCGAGAAACAGATCACGGACGGGTTGCCTCTAGCTCGCCCGCCTTTGCGAGTTTCAGGCCCTTTGGCTTCATGTCCATCTTCGACCCCTTCCTCAGGTCGGCGTGCCGAAAACCCCGCGGCAAGGACGAAAGTCTGAGACGGCGGCAGCAAAGCTCACTCGCCGCTCAAGCTCCTCACTGACTCAGACACTCGCCGAGAAGCAATCAAAAGCCCACCCGCCTCATGTGAGTGTGTTCGGACCACAGGGACGCCTGGCCGAACCCCCAATCCGCTGATAAGGATCCGGAAAAAATGACGTACAGCCCGCTGGCGTCTATCTGCATTCCCCATTTTATGTGGGCTAGAAGTGCGGTTCGAGACAGTTGGGTTTGGTTGCTTTGGACAGGGGCAACGAAACCCATGCCCCAAAAGCTGCTTGACGCGAGCCTAGCTAGGTCATCTTCAAGGGTTGCTTGTTTGAGCCATGCTCAGGCCTGTGGCTAGTGGTTTTCCGGATGTGGATCCAATCGACCTTTGGCTACTAACCAGTCCGCATCAGGCGCGCCTTCCGCGCGCCTCTGCCATATGCTTCCCGGAAAGGCGGGGGGGGGGGGGGGAGCGTGGCTGCAGTTCCAATGGCTTACCAAGCAACAGCTGGCCTGGAGCCTGGGAGGGGAACAGATTTCGGGTTTCCGCGAACCTTCTGCGAAAAACCCGAGGTTTTTTGGTGATTCTTCCCGAGGCTGCCTTTGCCAATGCAATTTGCTCTATTCTGAGCCGGGCATGGGCTCAGCCTCGCCCTTTTCCATGCTGGTTGTTGACAACTACTGCAGTTTTTCCAGGACTTTAGTTGAGCTGCGAACGAAACTGCTTCAAAACCTTCCGCGGGCTTCCGCGCGAGGGCTCTCGGATGGCTGTCCGGGATGTCTGCTCCATAGCTTAGAACACCGCTCGGCTGCCCCTTTGCTCGTTGGTTTGACTGCCATCCAAGTTCTGCTCATTTGCTCTGCTTGAATGCCAGACAGATCCCGAGTTGAGTGACCATCCAAGTCATATGCAAAATGGGTGTGACTAAAGCTTGGGCTGTTTCCTCGTGGCCTGCCGGGGCAAAGCCAACCAAAGGGGGCTCCAACCCAAATGAATCCTGGCCTGGCCGGCAGGTCTGGCTTGGTTGCGACGCCTCAGCCTCCCATTGGCGGAGCAAAGCACATGCATCACGAGTGTCAATCCCAAAAAGTGGATGCTGTAAGCATGCAACATGTGTTGCTTTATATTTGTTTGAGTTGTGGTTGTGTGTTGTTTCTTTTCTTGTTCCTTCTCCTTTTGTTCTTTTGTCTTGTTTTATTTATTGATTTATTTATTTTTGGGGGGGCGGGGTCATGTCAATCAGAAGGAATGCCATTCTTCCAATGACACACGTAGCCTCCTCCTCCGACGATGACGAGGTAGGCAAGTCCTCCAGCTGTATATGGCTCGTCCCTGGCCAGGCGGCACGAGGGGCGGCCCTCTTTCCTTGTGACCGCATACCGGAAGATGCCCAAAATGTCATCCCCAAAATGTCACGACTCTCAACCAGCCTGTCTTTGAGGACCTCACTGACCTCTCTCCATCATGAATATCAGGATTTGGCTCCTCAAATGCCGCTCCAGCGCTGGTGCAAGGTTCCAAATGCAGAAAAGGTGACCCTTGAAAACCGAGATCACACTGCCAAAAGTTGGGTGACCACAAATGAGTTGGATCAGAGGTCTTTCAGGGTGTCTGCTTCTCCTCGTCTTCCTCGAAGTCATCCTCAAAATCCTCCTCAAACTCATCTTCCTCCTGCACGCTGGGCCCCGTACACGCGTCACAAGCTTGGGGCCAAATATCCTGCACGGGCTTGACTTTGCAGTCCAGGCCCACGGCAGGCACCTCCCCTGGTGCAAGCAAGGCCAAAGAAAACCAAAGCAACGGCCTCCTGCCTGCAGGATAGCCTCCCGGGACTTCCTGTGGCTCCTGCAACGGCCAAAGCTTCCGGAGTTTGGTGGCACATCCCTGGTCGTGGCACAGGGGCCTCCTGCCACTCAAGCAACAGGTGCGAACCGGCTCCTGGGTCTCGCGAGGCGAGGCAACTTCCTGACAGCCCGCATGGGAGGATATGGGGCTCAGCGTGAGATGTGCATCTAGGCCTAAACAGTAAGAGTTGTATGGGGAACGCATGACAATTCTCTGGAATTGCATCAGGCCACCGTTAGACTCCCCTCGATGACCCAACCATGGCGGTTCATGTCACTGCCTCAAAGTACTTGCTTTCATGATGAAGTGGTTTGAGGACCATCAGGTGAGCAGGCTGTTGCAAGGTTTGGCTCGTCTCAATCATATGCAGACCGAAGACCCATCCATAAGTGCAAGAGGGTTCAGGGACCTCTACGCATGATGGCCATCCCACTTTCAGGAAGCAAGCAGCCCGCAGTCCGTCACTTCAATTGCAGCGGATCGCCGTGCCTCCGGGATGGTCTGTTCGTCCAGGGACTCAAAAGGGGCCTCGTAGTCGCTGAACAGCTCCCCAGGCTCGCTATCTGCAGGCACCACCAGGTCTTTGGGCGGTTCCTCGTGCCCAGAGAGGCGCCAAAAAAAACTAACACGGCCCTTCAAAGACGCAACTTGTCGGGCACGGTGCATCTGTGCTTTGTTCAGACAGCATGGGCATGGGCATGCGCAACGAGCTTGTTAAAACGCCATGGGATGTCCTCCTCCAGCATTTGTAACAATGCCGTGGCAGCGATTCTTTGTACATCCTGGCGCTTAACAACTTGGCACAGTGCGATCTAAACGACGTTCCAGACCCGGCCTCCTCTACTTCGTTCGGTGGGGCAACAGCAGGGCCTGAAGCTGGCTCTGCACCTTGGTGCAGTTAAAGGTACTTGGGAATCATATGGCATATGGGTTTGGGGCGGGTCCCTAAAAAAAAAAACATGTGTAAGACCAGAGATCACCCCATTTCCCTTGTCGAGGAACCGACTGGCAAACTGCCGCTTCTGAAGAGCAACCATTCTGGGATGCGTAGGTGGCCATCATTTACATGGTGCCCCATTAAAATGTCTAGTCACATGACCATGACATGGTCAAAAGCCATGTGACCCCCAGTGAACATCCCAATCCCCACTAAAATAGACTAACATGGGTGGTGCACCTACCCCAAAATATGGTACCATTTGTTTTGACCCACGGCCACATAAGAATCATGTCCCCAGGCTTTGCCACCAAAGCGCTTGGATCAGCCTGCGGGTCAGCGGCCTCCTGAGTTCGCGGTGCCTAGGCATTGCGATGCCACGAAGTAAAGTTGGCTTCCATAAGACAACCCCACCTCTCATGACTCATTTCGACTCATTCCCACAAACCCGTCCATCTACCAACCAACTCTACAAGCTCCCCGTGCCTTGCTCGGGGACTCCTGCGTAGCTGGCCTGGCACATGCGAACAGTGCTGCGTTCAATTGCCTGGATGTTCAAGATTTAGACTTCATCTAGGCTCCAGCCACGAAACAAGGACAACAAATGAAAGTCCAAAGGTCTGAAAAATTGTTATGAAAGAGACAGGGGGGGCACTCTTTTTGTCCATTTACCAAGATGCCAATTTGGCTACCGCTGTTTGAGCCACAGCCATTTGGTATAGGACAAGTCAGGCACTCATACCACCCACCCGCAGCCTCGCCCTCAGCTGCTGCTCGGAATAGACCATAGCCTGGCCCAGGGCCGCGGGAAATCGAGCGGCGGAGCTCCACTCGATTTCAGCTTCCAGCCCACTGAGCTCGCGCTGATTCCCATGGGGCAAAAGCAAACACGTTTTACGGGTAAGGCTCAAGAACAGGGGCCCCAAAACGGAACCCTGGCAAATGGAAACAAAGACCAAAACCACCCTGGAGGATGTGCAAAGCTAGCCCCTTTGCGGGTTCTAAGTTCATCCGCAGGGAGTTCATCTGCCGCTATGCCCGCCGCCTCATCCAAGCGGCCGGCAATCCTCAAGTCGGTCGGCGTGCGGCTCTCTTGTCCACTCCTCCCCCAATGAGGACCCATGCCCATGACGGCAACAATCCGCAAATCATGCACGGCGTAGTTGGCCAAGGTGCGATTTGAGGCTCCAGAAGGTGGGGCATTGAAAAACATGGGGAGCCTCCCTGGTTCCCTGAGTACCCCAAAAACCATACAGCATCGCCAGCTTGGGACCCCATCCAAAGTCACACCCACGGGTTTGTCTCAACATGATCCAAAGACACTCGGCCAGGGCGCCGGTTCACCTTCCGCAGCTTCGGCGTGGCAGAGGCCCTGCACAGCCGCGCGAAGGTGAGGCGCAATGGCCGCCGCCGCTGCAATGTCTCCCGGCAGTCCCGCCTTGGAAAGACTCTGCTAGAGTCATGCAAAGTTAGGGCGGTGCGGTTGCGGCTTTCCCTTTCTTCGGCAGTGCCAGCATTGCTCGATGCTTGGCTGCATCTCAAGCCAAGCTGCTCCGGCATCCTTGGATGCAACACGCTTGTACTGAACTCTCCCCTCTTGGAGCGCACATGAAAAATGCCGAATTGACAAAAGTGTTCCCTGAAAACATCGCCCCATCAAGGCTTGCAGCACGCCCAGACAAACAGAAACTGGCCACAAACACCATGCTGAACCAAAGCGGGGGAACCAAGGGGGGGGGGGGGGATTCTTCCAACAGTGAAGGTTGAATGTTAAAGTAAAGGATGTCCTCTTCAAAGGTTCGTGCATCGTGAGTGCTCATCAGGCCTGACTGACAGTTACGCGGGTATACATCAGGGGCAGGATGATCTGCACCCAACACAACTCAAGCGGTCGACTATCAACTTCCATCACATGGTTCGCCAATGAAACCCCACCAACAGCCAAAACACACCTTGGTTGGGTATCAAGGGGAAAATTCAAGAAACCCTCTCATGTTGACGTCGGGGGTGCCCTCACACCAATGGCCAAAAGAAAGAAACCGATGCAGGCGAGGCGCGTGGACACTGCCTGCCCGTTGATGCTAACCAGCTCGTCCCCAATGCGAAGCTTCATTTGGTCAGCCCAGCCACCTTTGAGAGTCCTCCTGGCAAAGCCGCTTGGTCAGACGCATCTACTCGTGAGCCATACCCCCAAAAAAAGTATCTCAAGTGCCATATTTCTGATTTGGGGTCTGGTCTGGTAAATCTAGTTCACTCAGTTGCAAGGGGCAATGTGCCAGAGATTTCAGTCCTGACCACCATGACGCCATCCTGCTCCTCAAAATGCATGCCCAGGCGGTCCGTGTCCCAGCAAACGCGAAGAGGGAACCAGCCTCAGCACAGGTCGGTTTATCACATCAAATGAAGAAGTGCAAAAACAGCCTACTCAATCTTGAGGGTTGGACTTCCCACGGGCTGCCAACTGCACACAGCGCTCTGACGACTCTGCTGCCCGGGTGCATTTCTGGATGCGATTGGGGCCACGTTCGCTCCAGCTTCGCTTTAGGGAGCCCATCCTCAGCCCCGCTTGAAACCCAGTGCGTCCTGGCCTCTACGTTTCGGGGCGCTTCCCGGAAAGCGGACAAGCTCAAAGAGGTGAGTCATCCACAAAGGCCAAACTCATCAATCCGACAGTGTGCTGCCTGACGGCACTCCCCATTCGCCCTTGTGCCAAGATTCTGCCAATATAACTCATGCAGGCCATCCGGTCACGAGCCCACCCGCAAGATTCGGACGCACAACGGTGGTCCAGTAGGTGTGCTGAGTGAATGCGCGGCTTGAGCACACGCGTGTGTGCACCCATGTCTAGTTGCTTGGAGTGGGATCATGCTGCCTGCGTGCTACCTTCAGCAGGACTGCGCGCTGGTCCTAAAGCCTGTACAGCTCCCACAGCGTGCGCTCAGCAAAACTCCTGCCCATGCCTTCAGCACAAGTTGCAAAAGGTTCCTCCGCCTGATCCCCGGCATCCAGCACCCCACGCCCGCCACCCTCCCCCCGGCTGTGACTTTTCCGGTTTCAGGGCGTCATGCCGCAGGCAGCATGCCCTTCAGCTTGTCCACAAAGCCGGCCAGGTCAAGGCTGTCGCTAGGCACCTGCCGAGCCAAAGACTGGGCACGCTCAGTCGCAAACCTTGCCTTCGCATTTCGCATGGCGTGTCTTCCAAAGAAGCGCTCCAAAAAGGCTCTCGGCACTCCGTTGGGCTCGTCCTGTTGCCTTGCGCTGGGCTGTAGGGTTGTTTTGAGTTGGGCTGTTTCCTCGATACCTCGTGGAGTTTTGAGCATTCCTTTCCGGCTCCTTTGCGCTTTGCTCTTGACCTCCGTCTTTCCAAGCGACGAGGCTCAACTGCTGGATGCCCCAAGACTTGCGAGTAGCATGAGATCCTAGGTTGGATGGGCCCACTTGCAGTCAAGGAATGCCAACCACACAAACCCCCACGCACATATGGCTGTGGGTCAAAAATGGGCACTCAAAATGGAACCCTGATAAATGGAACCAAGGACTAAAACCTGCGGTCCATATCCTGGTGGTTTCATTTTGACCCATATCCTGGTCGCGCCTCTGCCTCACCTTCTGCCAGCTTGAGGCGCCCGCGAACGCCTTCCAGGCAGTGCACGAAGTCTGCCAGGGACCGCTGCTGAACCAGGGGATCCTGCGGAACTGACAGACCACATCTCTAGGGGTTGCTTCCTGTTCCATTGTTTCCAACCAACCTTCTTTTCAAAAACCAGCCGTTTCCCTGGGTTTCCGGAGGTTTTCTAGAAAGAAGGATCCCTGGAAAGAATGGGGAAGGTACCCCTAGAACATCACAAGGATTTCAATTTGCGCTGGTTTTGCTTGTGGCTAAGTGCTTCCAAACCCCATGAAGTAGACTATCCCAACCACCCAAGGAGGTCATTGATGTGCTCTGGCTTTTGGCTTTGCTTGAGGCAAGGAGCTCCCAAAATGGATCCTGTCTTTGCAGCACGCTGAGCACCGTAAGGGGCATGACATCCCTACACCTTGGCAGGTGCAGAAAGGTGTCCTGCTTGATTTTCTTCCCAACATTTCAAAAGAGAAAGCGGACAGGGCCTCAGCCTACCAAAAAAAGCAATTCGACCCCCACAAGGGGTAGCGTTGGCTTTGGGCCTGTGCCGCCACTCGCCGGAGCTTCTGCTGGCGCCGGCTGACCAGGTCCAAATCGCAGGTCAGCTCTAAGTTCCGCTTGCGCTGCGCCTGCCAAAGATGCGCGACACTTGAGCCGCGGACAACTTCATTTGTCAAAACTTTGCCCAGAAGGATATGGAAAATCGGGTGCCTCACACTGCTCCCCACACTACAGAATGGACCGCCAGTGAGTTGGTCATCACTTGTCACACCTTTCCCCTAGAGGGGGGCCGGACTGCGACAAACGCCCATCCGTCGAAAGTCCTTGCCTGCACCCGTGTTTGTAGGGCCGCCAGCTGCACCTCTGCCGGCAGTGGTTGCTTGTCCGATTCCTGGGCAACGGATGGCCAAGAGGGACTTTGGGGACTCAAGGCTCTTGCCGGCAAACAAAATGAAACGGAGAGCGCACGAAACGGAGAGGAAAGAGCAAAAAAGAAAACGGCCCAGCTCTCCCAAGCAAAAAGAGGCCCCAAGAAAAAACATTCTCGCCCGTGCAAGAGAATTGTCCCCGTTCCCCGATTTTCCGCAACTTTTCAAGCGATGCTCCTGGCTCTCGCCCAGGTAGGCGCCACAGAGCTTGGCCAGGCAGCTGCGCCACCCTTCGTGGTCGTCACTTCGGCCTCGGAGGCCGATGTCAGATTTGGATCGACCCCTCCCCAGATGGATAGAACCAAAGGGAGGAGCATTAACTAGACCACGGTTGGCCCGAAAGCAGAACATCGCAAGCGAGGTCGGCCCAACGCTGCAGGATGCGTTCTTTTTCCCTACACGAAGCATTCGTGAAGCAAGCGCGAGACAGCACCAGGCAAGGTGCTCTGTGCAAGTTGCTCTGTGCAAGTTGCTCTGCGTAAGTTGCTCTGCGCAAGTTGCTCTGCGCAAGTTGCTCTAGGCAAGGCGCTCTGCGCAAACTGGTCGGTGCAAGTTGGTCTGCGCAAGTTGCTCTGTGCAACTTGCTCTGCGCAAGTTGCTCTGCGCAAGTTGCTTTAAAATGCAAGTTGCATCTTGCGACGCCCGCCCGCGGACCAGGGAGGAATCGAACCCGCGACCCGCCGGTTCCGGGAGCAGGCGCGCGAACCACGAGACAACTCCCGAGGACCAGTTCGAACAACAAAAGTCGCAAAAAACCTCGAGTTTTTGCTGCGGGTCGCGCGAGCACCGCACAAATCGCAAAAAAAAACATGGTTTTTGCACCTCGACCACGCCGATCCCCACAGAGGGTTGCGCGAGCACCGCAGAAATCGAAAAAAAAAAAAACCCGAGTTTTTGCACCTCGACCACGCCGATCCCCGAGAGGGTCGCGCGAGCACCGCAGAAATCGCAAGAAACCTCGAGTTTTTGCACCTCGACCACGCCGATCCCCGCAGAGGGTCGCGCGGGCATGTTGGAAATCGCAAAAACCATGGGTTTTTGCACCTCGACCACGCCGATCCCCGCAGAGGGTCGCGCGGGCATGTTGGAAATCGGAAAAAACCCTGGGTTTTTGCACCTCGACCACGCCTCGCAAGTCAATTGCACTTGGCTCCTTGCACTTGCAACTTGCACTTGACTCCTTGCTTGGTTCAAGGAGTCATTGCAAGGAGTCATTGCAAGGAGTCATTGCAAGGAGTCATTGCAAGGAGTCATTGCAAGGAGTCATTGCAAGGAGTCATTGCAAGGAGTCATGCAAGGAGTCATTGCAAGGAGTCATTGCAAGGAGTCATTGCAAGGAGTCATTGCAAGGAGTCATGAGAGCCATTGCAAGTTGCAAGGAGCCAAGTGCATGGAGTCAAGTGCAAGTCGCAAGTGCACGGAGTTAAGTGCAAGTTGCAAGTGCAAGGAGCCAAGTGCAAGGAGCCAAGTGCATGGAGTCAAGTGCAAGTTGCAAGTGCATGGAGTCAAGTGCAAGTTGCAAGTGCATGGAGTCAAGTGCAAGTTGCAATTGCAAGGAGTCAAGTGCAAGTTGCAATCCTTGCCATGACTCCTTGCAATGACTCCTTGCAATGACTCCTTGCAATGACTCCTTGCAATGACTCCTTGCAATGACTCCTTGCAATGACTCCTTGCCATGACTCCTTGCACTTGACTCCTTGCAATGACTCCTTGCAATGACTCCTTGCAATGACTCCTTGCCATGACTCCTCGCCATGACTCCTTGCACTGACTCCTTGCCCTGACTCCTTGCAATGACTCCTTGCAATCACTCCTTGCAATGACTCCTTGCAATGACTCCTTGCAATGACTCCTTGCAATGACTCCTTGCAATGACTTTCATGATGATGATTCCTTGCAATGACTCCTTGCAATGACTCCTTGCAATGACTGTCATGATGCTGATTCCTTGCAATGACACCTTGTAATGACTCTCATGAGAACAACTCAGGTGAACCCAGCGGAAGAACCCTTCGCCATGCTTTCGGGAAAAAAACAACTTTCGCCAAAAGAGGGGTACGCCGTGGGCCCTGATGTTTTCCATGTGAAATTGTTTCTTTGCAGTTTGCCAATGCGCTTGATGGGCGGATCTGGTAGATCAAGTGACAACGGATTTTTGCAAGGAACCCTCATTCTGGCCTTATTTCTTTCACCTTGACCCGTGAGCTCATAACCGGCTCGGTGCCAGGTATGACTTGAGCTTCGCTCCATCATGCCTCACTTGGGAAGCTTCCAGTGCCTCTGGCCAGGGCGCTGGGAGGCAGCACCCCCACAGCTGCCAGCCGCTTCTTCAGCCGCACATCCAGGGCTGCCATGCACACCAGACGTCTGCTGTCTATCAGGGTGGCTATCAAAGAGGCCCAAAGCCTTTGATCGCATGCGATTGCTGTAAGGTCCAGAGGGCGACAACCGCCGCGCTTCGCAGTACTAAGCGCCAGACCTAAGGCTGCTAACGTCCTGTGATCAGCTGGTCCAGCTGGTTGCTTTATTGGTGCTGTGCTCTCAATCCGGCACTCATTTGGAGGCGGGGCGGACGCTTGCACAGAGGCACTGTACATTGCTGTAGCCAGATTTCTACGTTGTCTGGCTGGTCTTCTTTTCCAGCCCGCAGACATGTCCAAATCACCGCATCGTCTGTTAAGTCCCTGAGAATGATGAAGAGTGGTGCCTGCCAAACTCATAGCAAGCAATCGTCTGTGGACGACTGTGAATCATGGAAGGCAGCTGCGCCGGTTCGCTTCACATGCTGGTCTTGGTAGCCATGTCAATCCAAATGCCCAGGTGCAACAAAAGAACCGAAGGCCAAATCGCATACACCTTCTTGGCACACCCATGAACAGCCCCTATCCTTCCTAAGAAAGCCAGTGCTAAACAGCCTTTCACAAGCTCGGAAGCACCCTTCCAGGTCCCTTTCATGCTACTCCTTTTTTCCCGTGCCTTGGCATCGGCGGCAGGCCAATGACCCGCTCCTGGAACGATGGCTGACCTGCGCGTTCCGCGGAACAGGAACCCACTCGCACGGCAAACATTTCAAGCTCTCCAAGGCGCTTACCGATTGCTTCCTCTGGCGGTTCCTCCAAGAAGTCTTCCAGCAGGTGCCTGTAGAAACACATTGCCCCAGACTCTTTCTTATTGTTGGTTTTTTCCAGGGCACCCTGTTTGGTTGGCGTGTAAAGCAACCATCTTTGTGGATGCTTTAAAAAAGACGCACCCGCATGTCAATTGCATCTCTGGGGACTGGGCGAGGTGGGGCAGACCGGTGTTGGCGAGTACTCCGGCGTGAGCCTCTGCCACGAGCAGCGGAGCGCGTCGCATGACACACGGGCACCCCGAGGCCCGGACTCACGTCGAACTCCGTCTCCAACGTGCTGGTTGTACCTCTTTGCAAAGCCTTTGCATGGCTCACTGCTCGCAAGTTCTGGAAAAGATCGGAAGTTTCCCCTGGAAAAGATCGGAACAGCAAAGCGCCGCTGACCCAACCACTTTGTGCACCAAGGGGCGCCAAACACAACCTGACAGAACTGGGCCTGGCGGAAAGGCGTCCAACTAAACGGTCGCTACAATTGGCTGACTATGCTGACTCAAGGACTCAAGGGCACAGCTGGTAAATGGCAAAGCCGACAAGCACGGCCATCAAGCCCACAAAGGTGAAGTACGCATCACGCGTCAGCGGCTCCTGCGGGCGCGCTGCCTCGCTGCCTCCCCTCCCCGGCCCGCCCTCAGGCAATCGCCCTAGCGACCTCGTCTTCGGGGCGGCGGGGGAGGGTCCGGGGTTTGGCTCCAGTGCCACCTTTTTGGAACCATGTCCTGGTACTCACCGAGCAGCGGCGTGAAGAACAAGGCCGTGGTGAAGGGCAGGAGGATCGAGTAGCTGAGCGCCTGGCGCGCTCAGTGCCATCCAAAAGATGCGAAAGAAGAAAGCGCGGCTGGAGGACATTCAGCACTGCACTGCCATGCTTTGTCAAGTACAGGCCCAGCGTGTTGAAGCCTTGGACGGCTTGCCGGTTCCTTTTTGGTGGCCGGCACAAGACGACGCTCGAAGAAGGACAAGCCCACGTATCATGCAAGGCATCGTGAAAATTAGCATTCAACCTATTCAAACAACTTACGGACATGTCCAAGCGGAACTGGGCAGCCTTGATACGCCAATCATACTTTTTTGGGTACAAAAGCTACTTCCTATCAGTCTGATTCACTGGGCCTCTGGCAAACGTTCACGGCGCAGTAGCCTGATCGTGGCAAAGGACCAATGGCTTGGCTTCCTCTTGGATTCTTGGCTCCGACTTTTGGGAGAGACCCACCAGACCCACCCGGCTCCATGGCTCAAGGTCTGACTTTGGAGTCAATTTGAGTTTGCGGCGGGCCGCCTGTAAGACTCCCGCGAGCGCGGAGGGATGCCTCAGGCATCCTCCGTTGATGGACCGCCCCCGCCGGCTGTCACGGATTCTCTCCGAAGAACGCACCAAGGAACCAGAATCGCTCAACGAGTCACCGGCCTGGGAAGCCTGCAGGGTGCCTGTGCCCTGCTGTGAGATGGCATGTTTGCTGAGTGCATCCAGACACGAATTCAACGAAACCAGGATGACAAGACACAAGCAGGTTGCGATGATTGCCAAGCACAGCTTTGGACTGGTCTTTCATGGTCACCCTGGTTCCGCAAAACATGTGTGAGCACACTACCGATTCTTCATCGGACAAGTGGCAAAGCTGCAAACTAAATGGAGTGCGCATGACAAGAAGCTTGCCAAGGCCCATTGAACAACAACTCGCAAAGGCGACAAGCCCAGGAAAGCCAAGCTGTAGCAGGTCTCCAACTGGATCCACTACAGCATCATAATGCCGGGCGTTAAAAGTGCCGAAAAGTGAAAATTGGAATGCACACCTCCTGCGATGTGTGGCTCCTGCGCTTCGGGGCAAAAGCAGGGCACAACACCCTCGGCAAGGCTGCAAGAAGCGGCGATGGCTTGCTTCATGGGTTCGATCACCATGGTCATATACTGTAGCTGTTTAAGCAATCTGAAACTAATGTTTGAGATTCGCGCTTTCTTTCTCCAAACTACATACAAACGACTTGTCCGAAGCGACCACAGAAGACCCAAACAAGGCACATGTAAACTTGTTGGGGCAAACAACCCATGAACAATGCCTTGTCTCCGGAAACCCTGTGCAATTGTGAATGTATGCAAAGAAATCTTTGTATGCATATGTGCGTACCTAAATAGGTTGATATACGGATGCTAATAGGGAGAACGATGTACACATATGTGTGTATTTATTCATGTACACACATCTACATACATATTAGCATACATATTCACATGAGCATGCATAGGCATATATGTGCGTGTGTCGTGCAGAAAAAGGGAGAGGTATCTGTCTCTCTGGGGGGAGTGTGGCACCCGCATCCATGCAGACAAGTCTTTTCGAGACAACGTGAAATCCTTGCCAGCAGAGAGCGCCCTTACCACAGCGATCCCTCGCTGCAGTACTGAGCCTCAGCCACACACACACACAGACAAACACACACACACACACAAACACACACACACACACACACACAAACACACACACACACCCACACACACACACACACACACTCGCACACACTCACAAACACACACGCCCGCGCCCGCGCCCGCGCCCGCGCCCGCGCCCGCACCCGCGCCCGCAGCACCCGCCGCTGCAACCGCTGCACCCGCTGCACCCGCACCTGCACCCACACCCACACACACACACAAACACACACCCGCGCGCGTTGTGCAGCAGCAATTGAGGTGGTGGTAGGGATAGACATGTAGATATACGATGTGTGTGTGTGTCTGCTATGTAAATAGATCTCAATACAAAAATATATAATATATATATATATATATTTACACACATAGAAACATGTACAAACAGTGCACCGCACATACATGCATATATACATATATGTATATGTACTTATTGCCTGCGTAACCCTCTTGAAACCTTTGCCGTGTTTGGAGCCTCTCAAGAACACTGTCTCGTGCGCCCCGTTGGCTCCTACCGCGGTGCCGATAGGCTGCGGCGTGGGTCAGCCTTTGCCCGACCTTGGCGCTGACACCGTGAGCGGAGGCACTGGAGTTGTGTTTGCAACGCGGCACTGACATTCCAACAACACCACGCGGAGTCGCTGGTAAAATCATGGGCGACATACGCTTCGCATCTGCATCTGGCCTCCTTTCTGCAACGCCACCCTTCCTGAAAGAGAAAAAAGAACGGTGTCTGCCTTGCACGATTCTCCGAGCCCTTTGGATTCACGAAGCTCGGTGTCAGCCAAGCGGCTGGGCAGCTCATGGCAGGGGCCGTGCTCAGCCAATGCTCCTTGCCCGGAGAATGTGTGGAGGACATCACTAAGACTCACGTACCAAGTGGATTAGCCAGAACTGGCCAGAAAAAGTCTAAACTTGTTGTTTACCGCGAAATTGTCCTCCCAGAAAGTTTGGATTGTGTCCACCTAGCATTTTTGAGAACCTCCCCCACTAAGATTCATGGCCAAATGCCGGCCTGGGAATTGAAGACGGCCAAGTTCGGCCCCAAAAAAAACATAATTACCCGAGCGGCAAACCAGCTCCCCCCCCCCTTCTCCCCATTCAACCGTAGGATATCGCGCGCAATCGACGTGTCAAAAGCCGAAGGGCCCAGGATGATCTTCTCCAGCACCATGCTGATGGCCCCCCACTCATCCAGAGCCACCGCCATGCGCTCAGGCATGAAGAGGGCGACGCCGCTCATGGCAGCCTCGATTTTGGCAGGCGACCTGCCAAGTGCCCGAGACATGGAGACATCCAGGCACCTGGAGACATGGAGTTGTGGCGAGCTCTGTGAAACCAAACAGTCCAGGACTAGTGGGGTGACTGACTGTTCCACCTGTGATGAACCGAAAGTGGGCACAACAGGACAAACAATCGCAGAAAACCGCTGCACATGATGTCCGCCCAGTGGCTGTCATAAAGATATATGCTAACTGATTGTCCCTCCAAAAGGAGGCTTTTCAAAGGACGCGCACAGCCGAGCCACGCCAGTGCCGACCCATATGTTGAAGAGCGGCTGCTGAAGGTGGCGCAACGAATTCGATCCTGAGCCTGCCGCTGCGCATGCCCCTCTGGTAAGCACTTCCATCCACACTCCAAGCTGGAGCGCAGCAATGTCTGCCAATCAACAGGTTTTGTTTACTCTGTACATACCGGACCGTAGTCGCTTAGACATGAAGGTTGGCAGCTCTGGTCCCCCCCACCATGCTAAAACAGGGCCAGGCTTTAGATGTTGGTTGTTGCGCGTGTCATCGTGGCAGATGCTGAGCCAAGCAAAAGATACTATGCCTGATGGTTGCTGCAATGATTGCTGCCAGGCGTTTTTGCTGGAGCTGACATTGTGCGCAAGGAGGTATACGACCACAACAATGTGTGCCTGACATCACCCACCTCTCGCAAGCGGCCGCAAACGGCCAACATCGAGCAAACAGAAAAGGGAGCAAGCAAATCAAACTCTATTTTTTGAAAGGCAAACAAAAGGTGCACCTCTGACGCAACTCAGATTGCACCAGCTTGATACCTTCTACAGAATGGCATGCAATTGCTCGAAAGCTTTGGCTCACAACCTGTAACCGCAAACAACTGCTTCAAGTCGCGCCTGTCGAAACAGGGCTCCCACCGCCCCTGAACCGCTTTCAGGTTTTTTGGGCCCACCCCTCCCCTCAGTATCAGGTGGGAGGGCGTGTTCTCAACATGGTGCACGCCAAAACACGGATGGCTTCCGTTTCGCTGTTTTGGTTCCCTCCAGGCACCCCATAACTGGCACACAAGGGGTTTCACTATTTTGGGAGTCCCCGATTCAAAGACGTGTGGATAGCCCCAACTAATAGTCCACCCGAATCAAACACCCAGCGTTTCTATACCCTCTCCCTAACCAAATAATCCAAAATAAATGTGTTGTTTTGATGTTCCTGTCTAATCCTCCATGACGTACCCCCCCCACCCCCCACCCGTAATACAATTCTAACCAAGAGGGTGACCCACCGCTCACCGCTCACCGCTCACGGCTCGCCGGCCTCGCTTGCTCTGCGAGATCTTCAGCGTGGAGGACTCCGGCGCGATGATCGCCACCTCCGCGAAGCCCGCCCAGCTGCGGGAGCGCGTCTCGTCCACGAAGCTTAGGATCAGGCAGAGGCCTCGCTTCGTTTTCGAGCCAGCCAGTGCGCCGGACCGGTCGCTCGATGCCCAGTCGGGTGGGCCCAAGTCGACATGGTAAAATATAGGGCCTAAGCCCCAAGTAAGAAGTAAATAAGAGCTAAATATGGGGTTGATGAATGGTCCATACGCCCGAAGTAAGGTTCAAGTGTAACGGTTTGGGGGGTTGGCCCCGATGAAAAGTCCACACACAAGAATTAAATGGCAAATGGAAGGGGCAGAAAGTCCAGATTAAGGGGGGCAAACACACGCTCGCACACAATCATGGAATTGCTCTAAGGAAAGCAGCCATCTTGGACGTGCATGAGTTCCAAACATGAAGGGACCCGGCTAACACCTGCGCAACCACCCCAAATTACTTGGCAGAGAAACTCCCAAATGGCTTCTGCTAAGATAGGCTTGAACTAATGAAGGTAATAAGAACTGTGTGATTCTATGTTGATGGACAAGCCTGGAGAGCTTGTAAAGTCAGCGGATTGGCGCTGAATGAGAAGCAGTTCCCCAAATCCTCAAGCGACGAAACCTGTAAAGCCCAGCGATGTCGTGGCCCACTGGAACCGCAAGCCCCCCTCTGCACAACCTTCTCGACAGCCGCCCTTGCAGACGCGGGGCAAATGGCCAAGGTGGTTACAATGTGCCACCTGTCAGGGCTGCGTCTTCTTTCAACTGGGTGGATGAAAAGAAAATCAGGGAGTGGATGGACGAAATCCATTTCGCACTACTCTGAAACCATGGAAAACCATTGTTCGTTGGCATTTACAGGGAATCAACCTTCCAGGGTTCTCTAGGTGGTGCAGGATTTTGTCCATCGACAGTATGTGTTGGATCCCGGAAAAAAATGGTCAAGCCCTTTCAACTGGCGATCTGGGCCTGCCTGAGACTGTGCGAGCAGTAGAAGTCGATGCCTGTCTCTCCCGATAACCTGGCGACGAACTTGGCTGGGCGAGGCTCATCCAGGGGACCTACAAAGGGGCGCCTCGTTGTTTGACGCCTCGCTTGTGGGACCCTTCTACCACACGGTGAATAGGGGGTCAAACCAACAGGTTGGAAATAGCCGGGCACATTGAAAAAGCGTCTATCGTTAAGAGAGGGGACTGCTTTCTTCCAAAGGGTTGGGGGGATTAGTGATCAAGGCTCAACATTAGAGCGCAACACTGCAAATGGAGCGTGTATTGCTAGTAAAACATGTAGTGGGGTAGTCAAACGAAATCAATACCCGGCATAGGCTTGCTTTACGAAATGGTCTGCCATGTTTCGTCTTCCGCGCCCAAGCGTGCACACCCCGTGCACCATGTCCAGCCTCAAAGTTGAAAGTGCCAGCAGGCCGCAAAGCGGTAGCACGTGCAGCGTCTGCCACACGTCTCCAGTGACAATGGCAAAGAGCAGCATAGCGATAGAAAGCACCTAGTCAGCAAAGAAAACATCGCAGCTACAGCAAACGTGGCAACAACAAAAAACATTCTGACACACACACACACACCAGTCTTGGGCTCGCGCCAAGCGTGTTTGTTTGTTGCTGTTGTTTGTTGCTGTGTTTACTAGAACTCGCAAACCAAAAATAGAGTAAGGGAGCTCACCGCAGCTGAGGGAGGTCGCTTTAATTCGCCCAATGGCTTGTTTGTTTTCTCGGGTTGATAGCCATAGCCAAAGCCGCTAAAAGCAAGGCGTAGAGCTTGCGCAGCCATGAATGCCGCAGCAGGATTGCCGACGGCATGGCGGAGGCTCCGGCGCTACGGGATATCCGTGTCGGCGTGCTCAACAATTTGTGAGGAACTGCGTGGACTAAGGGAAACCAGAGTAGCTGGATATCAACATGTTGGGGAAGTGTCTAAACGGCATCTAGACCCTAAAGTTGCGGCCTCGCCAGCCCACATGGCTCCCCAACTGTTCATGGCGCACAATGAGGCGAACAACCATCGAATGACAAAGGCAAAGGCCTTGTCACAAAAAGACACGGTCCCGACTTTGGACATCGGTGCCCGCCATGTTTCCTTAACCAACATGGGCCCTTTCTGAACAACCCGCAGGGCTTCCCTTCTGTGCCGGGCACTCAGCTCGCACACAGCTGGGCCACCAGCCGGTGAGTAGCGAAAACGTGCTCCTCCGCGCGCAGTCGGCATCCTGGATGTCGTTCTGAAAACGAACACGACGCGACCAAAAACCGCCCGACGGCTGGCTTGCCTCCTGAATGTAACATTGCCAGCCGTCGGAGAAGGCATCGGCGACCTCCAGTTGGAGGTACGTTGGAAAGCACCGCACTCGTTGGCTGCGCTTTTTCATACGATTCCAAAGGCACCAACCTTTTTACCCATATTACCTCTTGCCAAAGGGCAGTCCCAAACTGGCCCAAAGGATTTTCTTCAAAACCGCACGGGGGGAAAAACACGGGAAACCGATTTGGAGGGAGACCTGCAACTCAGGCCCCGTCCCCGGCAAAGGACATGCCCTCCCGGCTGCTGAAGCCCGGGAGGACCAGCAGCGGCATGTAAGCGAAGGATACCTCGGACCATACGAATGGACAAAACCCATAAGCGCACCACATGGAAGGTGACCATGTTGAAGGGTTTTTTTTTGGGGGGGGGAATCCCTTCCCAACGAAGCATCGGGAAAGGAAGGGAGGTAAGCTCCAAGGGACAGTCATTGGGCAAGGAAACCATGGAATGATTCGGAATGATTCCGCATATCCCAACGTAAAATATCAACTAACAATGGTTTCAACCATGCTGTCTTAGGTAGTGCGGGATTTCGTCCAACAGTGCGAACGATTCCTACTACTGGGAATGGCTTCATCTTCAAACCGGAGGCTCCAGGCTCCCGAAAAGTAGAGCAAGCCACCAGCGGAGTCTTAGGCCAGCTGCTAGGAACTGCCATATTGACACCCATTGTGTCAAGTACCTCTTGCAGCGAAGCAAAACACATGCCTATGAATGTTCATGGGGAACCACCGGTCACCTCACTTAGGAAAATTCACACCCCCATGGCCGTGTGCGTCAGCGAAGGCTGTGTGTGCCACGCATGTGCAGGTCTGGGGCAACCGCGCCAAAAAATGCACGTGCATTGTGCGCATGATGCAGGGAGGTCACCAAACGTCCAAGTGGTTGTCCTCAAACGTTGCCTCTTTGTAGCAGCTGGACCTTGGCACCATCGCTTCGAGCTGCCCTCAAGTCTCAGGCAAATCAGGGCGCCGGGCGCTGCCATTGGCAAGTTGCTGAGGGCATAAAAAAGGATTGCCTCGCTCAGAAGCAACTGCTGTCCAGGACCGCATGGAGTCGTCGCGCATGCTGAATCATGAAGAATTTGCTGACTTGATGCGAGGAGCACTGAGGTCCCAAGCATACCACCTGCTTTGGGCAGCTAGGCTGTGCAGCCTTCGTGAGGCTTTGCGCATGTCTGCAGGAGACCCTATTCAACCCCTTTGCATGCGATGAAATTGCGCATTTCACAGGCTTTTGCGGGCAAGGGCTTGCAAACCGACGGCCGAAAAGCGGGCAGAAGCTCGCCGAAGGCTCAGGCGACGAGCTATCGTCGTCCACGATCTTCGGAAGCACCTCCGCTTAGCCGTCAGTGACCCAGTGACAGCTGGGATTCTTCTAGGGCTTGATTCCCCATTCTTTTCAACCATTGTTCTTTTCAAAAGCCAGCTGTGTCCCCTTGGATTCTGCTTGCTTTCTGAAAAGAATGGGTAAGTGTCCACTAGAATTTCGCAAGGGGGCTAAGGCTCAGGGCCAAACACTGACACAGGCACCGGCGAAAATGAGGGTAGCGCCTTGGCGCAGAACTGCCAACAGATCCATGCAACTTGTGGTCGCTCGCGCGAAGTGAAACGGGTAGATTTGAGCATCGCAAAGTCCAAGGGGCTAACCATCATAACCCCCTTCCGCAAGCAAAGTCGTCTCCAAACAGACCCTGCCATGGTCCTCTTGGGTCACACTCTGCCAAAGGAAGCGCCTAGGGTCGCAGCCCAGCCGCTCCTGCCAGCGACTCCGTATTCTCAGCCATGTCGTGGACCTGCCAAGCGTCGGGTCCAGCGCCGCGCCTCCCCGGGCACGCGTCACCGCGTGACGCGTGCCCGGGAAGGAAAATAAATGACCGTGCGTCTCAAAATGAGGGCCAGAGCTCAAATACAATCCAAGAATGACGTGCTTCCAGTCCACGAGACCCATGGGTCAAAAGAAATCGGTTAGCCCCCCTCTGAACATCCCAACCCCCACTAAAATAGGTTCTAAAAAATGGGTGGTGCACCTACCCCAAAATGGTACGGTTGGTTTTGACCCACAGCCACATGAATTTGCATGGGTTCACTTGTGCTTCATATCGCCAGCCGCAACTGAGGAAGCACAGCACCAAAGCTGAGCGCCAAGCACGAGCATGGTAAATGGAATCAGGAGCTGGTTCAGCCTGGGCGCCAGCGGGGCCCATGCCAGGGGTCTGGCAACTCAGCTTTCTCCCCGTGCGAAGCTTCGAAAAAAATCCATGGGGCCTGTGAGCTTGTTTAGGGCTCTCGAAACTAGATGGCTGTGGGTGTCAAAACCGATTTGGATGCATTTTGGTTGGTAGGTCTGAATTCACAAGTGTTTGTTTATTTTAGTGGGGATTGGGATGTTCACTGGGGCTACGGGATTTTGACCCATGGTCAGATCAGCTCCAGGCTTGACTACCCTTTTACAAAGGAACACCCTTGCGAGTGGCATACGGTCATCCCCTGAAGCTGGCAACCTGCCCAACATCCACGACCGCGACTCAAGCGAGCCGTGGCAGCAGCGGCGTCACGGAGCCGGGCGTGTACGCAGTGCCGAGGCCTCAAGGAGAAAAATCACTCAGAACCACCCATGCGAAAAAGGACGCATGAGGTCACATGGGCGTGTCTTCTTTGAAGCGGAGCTGTTGAATATTGCGGGTTAGTCCTGTCAAAGAAGGGCATCCCCGGAGTGCCCATACTATCTCTGAATCAGCCAAAAAACTCCGGATTTGGGTAACCGGTTTTGAAAAGGTTGAAGTGAAAAGCCGCCTAACTTGTGGTGCCTCTAGAATCTAAAAACTCGGAGGGACCGCTGTAAGGGGAACCTCCGAAATCGGAGGTTCCCTCACGGGCAAATGGGCAGGATCCGACTACCTCCTGGTTCCCATTTCAACGCCCGCTCAACTTCGGCACCACAGGCGCGGACACGTCAGGAAGGTGCCGAGGCTGTCGAGCGTGCCTGGGCTGAAAGGGGCTCTGTTATTATGGGACACCCCAAAGATTGATTCTCTTGGTTTCCCTTTACCACCACCCTAAGAAAGAGGTACCCTCAAAAACCGATCAGACTGATCCATATGGGGAAGCGTTCATCAATTCCCAACCTCTCTCACCTCCCTAGTTCCCCATCCAGCTCACGTTGAGCCCATCTGAGCAGCCGGCCCATGATGACAAAGTGTTTCTTTGGAAAGGCTGTCATCTCTTTGGTCACCGCACTGGTGCACAGCATCCTGGCCGCTGCCACGGGAGGACATGACGATGACAGCAATGCTCATGGACCTCCAACGAAGGCTATGGGCAGGGGGGCTATCCCTTATTAAGCCCTTAGTAAGGCGTTATTAAGGGATAGCCCCACCCCCCAAAAGATTCCATGAAACAAGTCCCAGCCTTGGGTACAGGATGGCGCCACCATAGATGATGTAAAGAAGATTGATGGCCTCCCAGGCAAAAACAATTCTCCGCCGCAAACCAAACATGGAACCCAAAAAAAAGATTCCCCGAAAGATTCCTCAAAAACCATGTGCGTTTTTTGTGCCGGGGGGGGGGGGAGGGGGGGTAGGAGAGGGGGTCACATGTTTATTCGTCAGGCGACCATGCGCACATGCACAACCCCACCTGGTTGACGAAGAAACTCCTCCGGTCCCCAAAGGCCTGAGCGGCTTCGGATCTTATTGCATGCCATGTGCTTGCCATGGAGCAAGGGCTACTCGCGTTGCGCACTTCCCTGGGCTTTTCCAGGCTAGAGAAGCCAGACAGGTCAAGAAAAGGAGTCAGTCCATTCCAGGGAGCGTGCCGTGTAAGTGATCTTCAAGAGTGTGAAGTTCATGCCTTAGCGAGCAAGCGCCGAGCGCCCAAGATCAAAAGGACACGAGAAAGCCAGGCCCCAAAGAAGCTGAAACGCATAAGGCCCCAACAAGCCAAGAAGCCCGAAAGTGACCCTCACGGTCGAAACGTCGCATCTTGCCGCACAACCCGCGTTCCAGACCATTTTCCGTCCGCACTGCTAGTCAGGAAGAGTCTGCAAGTAGCGGACAGCAGCAATGCACGCCTTCCGCTTCCTCAGGCAGGTGAAACCCAATGCCGTGGCCCCGACTGCTCAAAGCTCAACCTAAATCCAAATCGGGTAGCCCCCAGTGAACATCCGATTCAATCCAACCACTAAAATAGGTTCTAAAATGGGTGGTACATTCATGTAAGCCAAAATGGTACCATTGGTTTTGACCCACAGCCACCTGAGTGCCCGACATGCCTTGAGCTGCTTCATAGCACCGCGCTCGTAGAATTCTGCCACTCTATCCTCTATCAGATCATGTCGTGCTCACAGCTTAGCTTGCCAATGATAGGCTCTGAAAGTCCCATGCACATCGCAATAACCAGTGCCAAGCCTGAAACAACAAAGTCGGCAAATCACAAATACGGAGCTGACGGTGGTTGACATGCCTGCATGCCCTTGCAAACGCATCATTTCACTAGCAATTGACACAGCGCAAGCGCAGGCTCCTCGCCAACGCTCTTGCCATCAGCTGTCATCCAGACCTCTGCCTGTTAGGCTGGCCATGGACGTCTGACTTGCCAACAATGCGTCAGTGCAGGCGAGATGCCTTGGGGTGATAGATGTCCGTCGCTACCTTCTGTATCGTACCCGTGTCTCGATGCACGTAGAAGTGCTTGCCTTGCTGCACTCCCCCAAATTGCCAGCTGCTCAACCGCCGATCGATCGGCCAAAACAACTACCTGCAAGTCATCCGCGCCTGGCATCTTGCCCTCCACACGTCGCCAGCCCGCGGGGACTTGCACAGGCACCTTCCGGTCTTTTGCAGGGGACCCATGCCCGGCCAAGACAAAACCGCAACACCCGCTCGCTCCATTTATAAAATTCATCCAGGCAGCCTTGTTCGAGCTGGGCGCCATACTATGTTGTATTGTGGTATTATTTATTTTTTAGTAATACTATTATTAATATTCCCCCCCAAAAAAGAAAACACAAAAAGTGCTCCCCCTTATGAAATCAACCACTGGCCCCCTGTCAGGAGTTCAAAATGCCCCGCCTGGCCGCCGTGCTTGGTGAACGGCGCGCTCACCTCCTGGAACTGCTGTTGGGTCATCCCCTCATAGCCTTCGAAGGGGATGCCTTGGCTGGCAGGCAGCCCGCGTGGGTCTCTGCTTGTTTTTGTAAGGGCATGGGGCTGGACAGGAAAAGCACAGCGGAAACCACCCCTCCGACCAACCCGTTGAAGTCTTGAGATAAGAAACCGCTCCCCCCAGAACAGAAAAGCCTCGCATTCATCGCCCTCCGGACAAGAACGCCCGGAGGGGGCCCTATCCACTCCAAAAACGAGGGCGGCGTTTGCCGGCGAGAAGACTTTGCTTAGCGGCTGCTCCAGGACGGCTCGAAGCCCAGGCCGCGCGGCTGGATGCCCGCTCGAAGCTCTGTGGTCACTGGCTGCACCCCCGGCATGGCGATCGCGGCGATCAGTCCAAATGGAGCTGGAGCCACGCACCGTGACGGTCGAAGCAACAGGCACGGCGAAAAGACCCAACCACTTGCCCTTGGTCAAGGACCTGGAAAAGTAGGGTTTGTCCCTGGCTGGCTGCAATTCATCAAAGGAGAGCCACTACTTTTCAGGAATCCAAACAAAAAAAAATACGTTGCTGGCACGCCTGCCAAGCTGACCTGAGGTCTCCTGCCTCCCAGGATGACAAGGCCCACCATGATGACGAGCAGGTGCAAGCGCCTGTCTTGAAACTCTAGCTACCCGGCGAGCTCCCCGGGGAATTTGGTAATGCGGTTGGGAGTCCCCTTTCAGCCACAGGCATCCGTTTTCCCTGGCTGACACCCACCCATCA